TTTTTAATTTTCCTACGATTTTTTTGGCCGAGAGTTACGTAACTTTGGAACTAAACCTGTATTTTTTTGCGCTACGCTAATACTAGTGGTAAACGTTATTTTTTACAAAATGTACGGTTGGTTTTAAAGTCGCGTAATTTAGCAAAAAAAAAATCGTAAGAAAAATTTGAAAAACGTGTTTTGTAGGTAAAATGTTGTACTTCTTGGCACTTGCCATAAATTTTGCAAGAAAAATTTTTTTATCAAGCCGCAGAGTGTTGAAGGTACCTTATTTTAAGGAAGAAAACAATGGGTCCTTTCTTCGTGTTTTCAAAACTATAAAAATAAAAAACTTTTTGAAAAACAGCCTAAAGCACATGAAAGTCTTCTTTATTTTTTAATGTGATAAAATATCGAATAATATAAATATGTTTTTTCTTCAATAAAAAAAATTACGGCAAGTACTTTACATACTAAGGTTTCAGCTACAAAATGCCAAAACGTTGTTTTTGTATGAAAATAGTTTAATTGTAAAAATTGTAAAAAATAAAAAAATAAAAATTTTAAAGTATTAGCGTGATTTTCAGAAATACCGATTTGCCTCGTACCGATATTTGCGCTGCGAGCAATATTCATCATTACGCCACCGCTCCCCTCCGTCGCTCTTGCGAAACGCCTCTATATCGATTCATATAAATAACTGGAATAATGTCCGGCCGAATAAATATTTATTGCGCACCATTACGAATGTAAATTTCCGTCGGTATTCTGCGTTTCGCTGCCGTAAAGTGTCTTGGGATCGATCGCGCGCCTGTCATGCTTTCGCGTTCGTTGTAAAAAAAAAAGACAACGGGGACGGAGGAGGTGGAGGACGACCGTGGGGAGACGGACGACGAGGGAGATCGACAAATTTGACGAAGCACCCCTTTTCCGCAGATACGGTCGTTCTCTCTCCGCCGGTTTCTTCCATTTATATATTTTTTTTTTACTCCTGACGAAAGACGAAGCGCCGTTATGCACGATAAAAAGTTTAATGTCAGAAGACGTCGCGGACGGTGGGAGGGGTAGGAGAGAGGGAGGAAGCCGGTGATGGAGAGAGGGGGAAGGGGTGAAAGTGCCCGAGGATCGTAATGACTCGATATGAAACCCGGGCAGTGCAATTTCTTTCTTCTTCTGCCCTTTCCTTCCTCCCCCGCTCGTCTCGACGTCTTCCTCTTTTTTCATCGCAGTATTTCCCCATAAAAGCGCCCCGGCATAATAAAAAGCGTTATATAGCTGGCACTGAAAAGTAACGCGTCTATGCGTCTCTCTCTCTCTCTTCCTCCCCTCTCCCCCGTTCGCGAGACGGTCTTTACGGCCTTATTTGCGGAGACGTAAAAATCGTGAAAATCAATACGGAACTTCTAACATTAAATATTCGGACTATTGACTGGGCGGGGTCGTGTCAGACACTCGTTGTTCGCGGCCCCTCTGCGGCTTTTTCGCTCATGATGAAAGGTATAAAAAATTAGTAGGAGACTACTAACGCTCGATTAAAGAGAAATACATGCGACGAATAAGAAGAAATAATAAGACGAGAAGAAATAAAATTAAAACAAAAAACGGAAAAAAGACATGGGTTAATACAAGTCAAAAAGAAACTGTTGAAATGAGAAGAAACCACGACCTATAGATAGAAAACTAAATAAAATGCACTGTACGCCTGAAAAGTAACGGGTTTACCTTTTTTTTTTAATTTTATATGTAAACGTCATTTACTGATAATTAATGACGTTTACATAAAAAATTAAAAAAAATTAATCCCGTTATTTTTCAGACATACTGTGTATGTGTCTACTTTTATTAAAAGATCATTATTAAACTGGAAAGGCTTTACGAAGGTAAAATAATGAAGGAACTCTTTGCGTTTAAAATTGAATTTATGACGACAAAGGACGAGAATATATGTTGCCCTAATGATTAAATACATGTTCTTCAAAATAGCATAATCGAGAATATCATCTCGACTTAAAAATTTTCGCATCGTTGAAATTTTTTCCTCTCTAACGGCGACGCACGCCATTAGCGAGCGTTGAAAGAAATTCACGCAACTGTCCGGAAATTCCCACGACATTCGCTCGCGCGCGCAGGATCCCGTACCAATTTACCTATTCCCGTTCCGCGTTACACGGCAATATGCACGACGACATCGGCCAATTAGCATATAAAGGAGGATATAAATGCAATTAATCGAAGGCTGTCGCGTGACGTGGCAACACCTGCTAAATAAAATCCACGACTGCAAGGAACGTATGTAAGATGAGAAATTGATCGAGGTGCAAATAGAAATTTTCGTCAAGGGCTTTTTGGAAACTTTCTGAAACGGCAATACACTCCACACGAAAAATCCAAAAAAACTGCAAAGAAAACAACAAACATTAATATCGCCAGTATCGAGACAGTATAAATTCATCAATCAAAGAGGTCGTATAATTCTGTGGAAATTTTCATCGGAAGAAAAGATCGCCTTGAAAGGGTTATAAAGGGATATGCCGAGGAGGAAAATTCTTAAACGACGATGAGGGACCTCATTGACTTTCATGGCAGATATTTACGTTGAAAGGAGTCGGCGGAGTCCGGGGATGGTCCTGGACAAAAATCCTCTGAATGCGCAGGCAGGAATTCATATTTTATCCGGTGACGCGCGCTCGATCCATACATTACGCTAGTCGTGCGCTCGTTATATGCACGTCAATGCGACTTCCCGGACAATTCCATTTCGCCGGTAATTAATAATGATCGACGCGCCGTCGTCATGCGGATCGGGAATGGCGCGCGTGTCCTTAACTTGCCGCAGCGAATAAATTGGATCGTGTTACGCAACGTGAAGCTAAGTGGTGTTTACTGCGAACCGCAAAAAAAAAAAACAGATAGTATTACATGTTTCTCTGCGCTAATTGAAAATTCGACAAATCGCTCGTGATTCCGATTCAGTGTCGCGACCAGTGTCAATTAATGCAGATTAATCAGCAAACATTGAAATTGGATCTGTACAATGACTTTTCTAAGTAGTAAACAATATTGCGATATTTATGCGCTGTGCTACGGAGTTACCTCTGCAATTCAATCCTACGACATTATGATAGTACGGTGACTCAAAGTCCTACGAAATGTCGTTTTCTACATTATGTAACACGCGGCAAAAAATCCTCGCCTATTATGATTAAGCTTGGATAGCGTAATGTAAAGTCGAGCTCGGAAATTAAGGGGCATAATTATTTAAAGATTGAAAAACATCTGCCTTTTTCATTAACTGCTGCATAGAATAAAATAGTTACGCATAATTATGAGAGCGTTAGGGAGAAGATAACAGCGTAGTGTTTTTCTGACATTTTATATGTTCATTCCATCAGGCTCGAATTTAACTTTGCGGGTTAATTAACTAATGCGTTATCGATGTGTCCGACATGTAACACGCAGCTACGTAACACATGTAGGCATTTAAGTCACAACATTATTTACATGATAATTTACTCCTTTCGCGTTCTCATAGATAAAATCGCTGCATAAATAATTAACAATTGCACCGATGTGTGTGTGTTCGCAGGTTGTACTGTCGGCGTGTAGCACATATTTCGACACAATTCTATCGCAGTACGAGGAGAAAGACCCCATCGTCATCATGCGTGACGTCAAATTCTCGGACATCAAAGTGCTCGTTGAGTTCATGTATAAGGGAGAGATCAACATCGATCACGTAAGTGTTACCTTGTAAATAATTTTCTTTTACACCTAGTATCGCTATCACACCCTCGAGTGAACTGCTTAAGAAATTCACGGAAAAACTTCAAAGATATCATATTTCTTAAACTATTTGACGAAATAAAAAAATTGCAAATGGCAGGAATAGCATTTCAAAACAGATCGAGCAAATCTTAGAAAAATTATGAGATTTTTGGGAGGCGATCGTGAGGCACACACTCGCGATATCCATAAAACGCGAATCAAATATTGTTAGTGACAATCTCTCGTTTTTCGTGTAAGTACAAAGTGAATATATTCATTGATGATGCTATTTGTGGCGATCGTTTTATCACATCGCCGTGAAATAAAGTTAAGCAGTAAAATCTCGAGACAATAATTTCCCGTCTTCTTCAGCACTTTTCCAATAACAACAATTTCGCGTGGATAACAGTTGCCGCGCCGTGCGACAGCTCTATGGTCAACTTTACGCGCTGTCTATTATCTTATAAAAAAACTAACATTTCTCACTCATACCACCGTAAAACCGAACGCGCCGAGATGTGTTGACAAAACCGCTATATATACGAATCTACGTATTGGGAATACCGACCTATCGAGGTAAATTCTTATAGAAAGTCTAGAAAGTCAACAAAAAATAAGGAGACATAATGAAACTCAAGACATAATGAAACTCAAGACATAATAAAACTCAAGTTAAAAAACCGACAAGAATATATACGGTTATGCTCGCGCCACTTTAATGAATTCGAAGTCGATTTCGTATCTTTACAAAATCAAATTATGAAGATTGTATTTAAAATTTATATATTTCTTGAGGTTTTTTTCAAATTTTCAGAACACTCAATTTTGAAAATACAACATTTCATAGGCCTTCAAATTTTTTCTAAATACATTTTGTCTTGAAATTTTGTTGACGTATCTTAATTGTTCGACCTCAAATATTCTGTTTACAGATAATATGATGTTACACAGTATTTTGCAGTTTCTTTGCATTTTTATTTCTCGACAAGTAACTGCTTAAGCGATCTTTACACAATCTTCAATCATATCTGCTCCTGAGGAGAGCGAATTCTTCCTGATTTCTAGTCGTGATGAGATAGTCGAAGGCGTGCAAGCTTTCTCCGGCATGTTTTGTGTCGCGCAGGTCCAATCGGGCTCGCGAAAAATCGCCGGGTGAAAATGCGGGGCTCGATCCCGGATTGGAGATCGACGACGGCGATTTAAGCTCTCCGTGCGATAGGAAATAGAGAGACGAAGGTCTTCGCAGATCGGACTTTTGCGTCACGCAGGCCACGCCACTCTTTTTTTTCCCCCCTTGCAATCCCTTTTCTTTTACGTTCCCCCGCCTGCGCAAGCAAGAAACGAAAGCGGCGATATTTCTGAAATACATTATTCCGCAGTATAGCGACGGCGACCCACATAGGTATTTTTCCAATTCCAGCCGTAGCCGATAGAAAGCCGTTTGTAGAAAGTTCCCATATTATTTAGCATTCGGTCGCGCCGTGGCGAGCATGCACCATTGCCGCCGGTGAAAATTAGCAAATAATAATTGGACTCGGTTGTTGCAACCCTGATACGTGCTCGTATAAGCTCCGATTTGTTATGTGAATTTCTCGGTTCCTATACAGGAACCTATAAAGGTTCCTATACAGGAAAACACGTAGGAGTATTTTTCTTTCTTATCGCGGAAGAATCCGAAGGGACTTGAAAGTTTATTTTAACCTTTCTAATATCTAAAACCAATATCTAAAAAAATATTAGGCCCAAATATATTAAAACTTTGTAATTAATGATTTATCAATATCATTGATGAAGATATAAAAGCTTTCTGCGAAAGCTTCTGCAAAGTGTTTCAAGATTCTTAACTTATATTTGCATAAAATATTCTAAAACAATTATTTAATGTACTAAGAATACAATTACGATAAATAAGTATGTTAGAGGGAAAATCAGTTTCCGAATAAAAAAAACTCGCTTACTGACTCACTTCCGTTTCAACTTTCCGTCTCTCCCTCATAAAGAAGCACTTATTCTTATCCTTCATTGCCAGATTTTTTATTAACATCATTAATATTAATGACAGTAATTATCATTTTTATGTTTTATCTTGTTTACTTACTGTAATTCATAGCTCACCGCTTACAGCTGAAAAACGTCTTTAGCAATTAAGATTTTAATATTCCGATGTTTAGCTCTAACATTACAATGATACACCTTCATTTAGGAGTTTATAAATATATCATTCTGCAAATTTTTAAATAAGCAATAATATTTCAAAAGTTTTTCTCACCAATTTACGTGTTTAATGAGTTTGTGTATTTATTGCTTTTTTAAGATTGTAGAAATTTTTAATTTTAATCCCGCTCTTTCTCCTTTTTATTCGCACACACAATAAAAAAAATGTAAGAATGAGCTTAATTACAAAACTAAGTAACAAAACATTAGGAACGAGCGATTACATTCGTTCGTTTTGTTTTGTAGACGAGGCTATCATCGTTACTGAAAACCGCAGAGGATTTACACATCAAGGGTCTAGCCGAGGTGAGCTGGCGCAGCGATTCCACGCAAAATGACCTGAACAACACCGGTCACAGTCCCGGTGCTGCGACTCCCGGTGTCGAAACGGTCTTGCGGGAAGGTGAAGCTGAAGAGCCGCCACTTCCGAAACAGAGGCGCAGAGGTCGTCCACCTCTGGACGATCCACCCTCGGCACACGATGTATTTACGCCAAAGATCACATGCATCACCGGAAATGTACGAAAAGCTTCTCAAATTTTTTATTAATATCACGGGCTAAGTGGGACGATGTATAAAAACCGATAAAGTTGCACTTCAGATTCTCGAAAATGAGAATCGATGTATGTAATTTTCGTACACTTTAGTATCTCGAATCCGAGATCAGTGTACATTTTAGTAGACGAATTAAGTTTCTATATGAAAACTTTCATAATTTTCGCACTAACAACCAGCGATGGCTCGAGATGCCTTTTAATGTATATTAATTTGAAGTTGCACTGTATTGTACTATAGTGCATTTTGTAAAATCCATTCACTTAAGAAATTATTAAAATTAATATTATAATTATAAAAATTTTATATCACAGTGCAATATAAATATTGCAATATTTTATATCATTACTGTAATTCCTTTTCGAATACTTTTTATGCTTTTTATACTTTCACCACTGCATTTTAACTAACTTTTTCGTTCTCGAAAAAAGAACATCCTATCGACGAAATGTTGATTCATGAAATTGAAACGGCAAGAAAATATTTCGGTAACTTATTTTTACATTGCGATACATGATTATTTATAGTGATTTGTTTTAATTCATAAAAAACCATTGTGCGTTATACAATTCGAAATAAGAATCTAAACTCCAAAGTCGAAAGCCCAAAGTCGTCTCGCTGTTCAAAATCTTTCAAAACTACAAGTTTCGAGGTACTTGTGCTTTGATGCTAAAACAGTATTAAATGTACATACATGTGAATACTAGAGAACAGCAAAATACAAAAAGAAAAAAAAAAAAGACAGATCTGTACTACAATATCATTTTGTTGCGACATCGAACCTTACGCGTACGAATTGCTTAAAATAGATGAATATAGAGTTGATGAATGTAAAGTAGAACGTAGAAATTCGACAATTTTATTAGACTCATGACGGCGGGTATTAAACATACGCAGGGATAGCCCACGCACGACTCTAATATGTCACATCGAACCCTTTTCCAGGAGGAAATGTTAAGCGAAGGCGGCGACCACGAGAGTTGGGATGATGACATGATGATGAACGAGAATAACGAAACACCACTGCCGGTGGTAAGGCCAATTATTGTTAGAGTACGATTCTTCTTTCTTCTTTATTTGCACGGACGCGTGCGTAATTAAGTCGTGCGACCATTAAGAGAAGTCCGTTCTACTTTCTCCTATTACTAGTCAAATTAAACTATTCTCGCACGAATATTCTATTCAACGACTCTGATTATGCTTTTTGTGCTTTTTTTAGCTGTCCTACATGTCCAAGGATGATAGTACGTCTGACCAGGAAAAGAAAGGTACAAATTATTTCTATTATAACTATACTCACTTTTCATTTTTGTAATTACTTTAATATTATTATTGTATAATTTATCTATCCACTACTATCAACTACTATAATTTAATTATTATTAACTGTAATTTAATTACATTATTAATTATTATTATTATTAATATTAATTATTATTAACACATTGCCGATCGATGGATTAGATCGACCTCTTTTCATTTAAGGAATTTTTATTTTTAAAGAACCTTGAATTGCTGATGCATCAGACTGTGATAGTTTTTATTCGGAAGATAAATTCTACTATTGGAATGTTTAATAAGATATATTCTGAATGTTACGCGAACAGTCAAAATTTTCAACCTTTTTAGAAACGAACATCAATATTCAACCTGATAAAGACGAATTAATGTTTCCCGAATATTTTGTTCTTAAAGCACCTAGCACTCCGTCAATCTCCAATGCTACAAATCCAGCGATTCCCGAGCAATTCCGGGACGTGGTAAAGATGAACGATTATTTGACGACGGGGCGTCGACAGGAATTTTGGGAAGAACCGTTCACGCGACGTGTTATGGACGCCATCAAGAGCAAAGAACTGGAGATGAAGACTGCCGCTGAAATTCTCGGCGTTTCCTACGGCACTCTCTATGGCAGATATCGCGATAGTTATGGTTGCCTTAAACATCCATACAGGTAATGCATGTATATGATGAAATCATTTTGGTTAATCTCCTGCTTTCAGAAACATTGTACGTTTCTCATGATAAGACAACTTTTTCATCAAAATCAGCAAAAGCTATATGGAAATGAAATAAACTAAAATAAAATTGATACAAAAGAAGAAATAAAATTTCAGTTAAAAGATCACACGATAGTAACGCAGATCTAAACTTTCAGAGTAAGAGATTTTTGGTCTGAACCTGGTCCTGCTGAAGTGCTGGCAAAATTACGGCGGAAAGAGATAACATTGTTCCGAGCCGCCGAATTCCTCAATGTCACCGTCCACACACTCGCAACTTATCTGTCGACGCTGCAAGGTCCAGACAGGATCTCGTTGGCCGGCGATCTGAGCGTGGCGTCTAGCGTCAGCCTCGACGGCAGCAACAATGCAACGACGGAGCAGACCACGACGGAAAATAGTGAATCCGTAAACGACATCCTTCAGAAAATCAACGCAAATGCGGGGACAGCAGCAACACTAACCACGACGACTACTACGTCGATCAAGCGTGAGGGTGGCGGTTACATCGAGGTGCCGACGACAGTGCCAAAGGCCGCCACGTCCGTATTGGAGAACAATCCGGACATCACAATCGTCAAGACGGAGAACATGTTGCGCAAACGTGAATACGCGAAAATGTCCAGTACAGAGAACAACAATGCGAAACTGATGAGCGGCGGTGCCGTCAGTGAAATCAGCCAGCAGCAACAGCAGCAGCAACAGCAGCAACAACAGCAAAAACACACCGATCCGATGGCGTTAAACAACGACAACAGCAAACCCTAACTATTCAGACCATATTTGACACCTACCGCGAATCATCCCCGCAACGCAGCTCCGAGCAGCACCAACTACAGATCCGACCTACAGTGCCCGCGCAATTTCTACTCAAACGTGTTTACTCGCTTTCTCACAAATTTTCATTTGAAGTAGACAGGATGCCCGAAAAGAATAGCTTTAAACAATCTTGAGTATAATCCGTCGCGATTTGTGCGGGTCGTGGCTGCGTCGAGGCGGGAAGACAAACTCAGACTCAGCGAAAAAGAAGTGCCACCGCAAAGCGTATCGCAAATCGTCGCGAAAGGGAAAAAAATCGAAAAAAATAAGCGTACGCTTCGTCGTGCCTTTGAGCCGAATTCCGCGATTTCCGCGGACGCCACCGCGACTCGCGTGTATTTTTCACGTGTTAATGAAAAGGTATTAACGTTGCAAAATCTACTCCTCCGACGAGTTAGCATTCAGCAGTGCGTAGCTCCTCCTGCTTTTACTTCAGGATGGGCTCGATTTGATCAACACGCGTCGGTATCGAGCGTGCGTACGCGACCTTAGCCTTCGTCAGGAAAAAAAAGCAAAGAAGCAAAAGGGAAAAACGTGTAATAAAAAGTTCAATCGAAGTTCCTTTTGAATAACGATGTAGAATGTATCATCGCAACAAAAAATGCCTAGACTATTTTCTGCCGCATGTGTCTGTATGGTATAGCACGTAAAGAGCGACAATATATTCACAAGTAGATCCATCATAGTAATACACACCACATAGACGAGAAAGAGAGAAAGAGAGAGAGAGAGAGAGAGAGAGAGAAAGAAGAGAGAGAGAGGAGGGAGGGAGGGAGGGAGGGAGGGAGGGTGGGTGGTTGGGTGGGAGATGGAGAGATGAGAAAAAATTCTAGCAAACGATATGTTCCTTGTGCGATCGTAGAATCTCGTTAGGAGCTCGTATTTCAGTTAGTTTTCATTGTACGAACACGAAAATTTAAATCATAAAGTATGTACTATTGGAAAAAGCGTCCACTCGTGCGATACGCGACGTGGAGAAAGGACGCAATAATTAACTCTCCTGAAAATGACGTCTGTAGATAATGTAATCAGCCATGATATTTGTATTTAAAAAAAGTATTTAGAGAACGAGAGAGAATCATCACTTCTTCAGGCGCACAGTGCCCAATAGTAAATCGTTTGTGATTTAAATGTATATTCGCGAATGGAAGCCTTAACATTGGAATATCAGCTACTCTCTAACAGTGTTATCGATTCGCCGATGAAATTTATTTACATATTACTTACGTACTATACGTTATCTTTTGCAGAACGTCATCTAGAACGGTTAAGTTCGAGTCTAAGAAGGCCAGGCGCGATAAGGGAAAGACGCTTTTGCACGTGAAAATTCGGAAAAGTCGTGGCGACTGTCTTTTTTTTTAAGAATTCGGAATTAAATATTAGAATTGTCTGTCTGTGCGTGTAGTAAATATAATTCTATTTTGTCTTATATTAAATTGTAACACGTTGCACGTTGCACGTAGTAACGTTTTAGAGAAACAAAGTTTATTATATTTTGTAAGTACATTCTTCTCTTTTTAAATGAGAACATTTTAGTAACTTTTATTTGAATGATAATCACCAATCGATTTAGAGGATGGTTTAAAATCAAAAGATAGTAAATTGTGCAATAGTAAAATGTGCGTAAAAATTAATATTATTTGGCACGAAGTGTCTAAGTACTATTTTAAAGAAAAAGAACTGTCATGAAGGAACTTATTTTATTTTGTGCAATTATTAGAGAAATCATTATTTGTAAGAAGCAAAGGAACCGACATCGATGCGGGTAGCAGTATTATCCGTAATCGCCAATAGTTACGATAATGCTGCTACGCTACTACTCGTTCCCCTTATTTATGTAACTCGCTATTCCGTTTAGTTTATTTTCATCGTAAGCTTTCATAAGCGCGGTGTTTACGTTAAGTGAAATAAACAAATGGGAACTCTTTCCCTAAGTTGCTGCGCGCGACACACACAAACATACACCCACATACCACACCATACTACACTACATCACACCACACACACAACACACATAAAAAAAAACACACACACACACACACATAATCATACTCCATGAGACATTGACTGGAAATGAGTATTCCTGTTCGCTGAGGTAAAATTAAGTAAGAATTAATAGTATAGTAGAGGTATCTCCGAGATATTTTTCGATGATATAAGACTTGCAGTTGAATTGGAGACGAGGTGTATTATCGCGGAGGGTACTTGTAAAGTAATCCAAACGAGCGGAATAATTTGTATGAAGATTACGTGACGAAAGACATGACGTTTTTTTCGTCATCGGAACGTACATGGCGAATATAAAAAAAAAAAAACAAGAATACGATTATATATTGTAAGGTGTGTAAATATAATGATGTATGATGTATAATAGAACAAAGAATCGGGACGTGCATTCTTTGTACACGAATGCGGGAGTGTATGTACCTCTCTCTTTCTAAACGGACCCCGAAGTCGACTGACTACTAAGATAAACGAGGGAAAAACAAAAAAAAAAAAAATAAAGGTCCACTATTTCCAACTGTTGGTTAATTTTAACCGACGTTCCAACTTGTGGACCTAAAAAAAAGAAGTGTGATGAGATAAGAGAGATTTCTTCGATTAAGTGTAAAGGCGACACTACAGAGAGACACGAGATACACACAAACATACATACACACAATTGTACGTGTGAATCTTGCGAGAGAAAGTATTTCCAGCGAACGCGTTAAAGACTTATTCCGACAAATAAAGTACTCTTTTTTAGTCTACTCACTTTGTATATTTAAGGAAGCATCATTTTGCCATTGGACATTGGAAGAGCGAAGGCTTTCGATTACTTTACGAGTGCTCCGGACCGATTATTTTTATCGTATATAAGTATATAATTTTATACGCAGTAACATCGCACGTTTACAATAATTTTATTTGTATTTCTTGAAATGGCAAGAGAAAGAAAGATCTGTTCATTGTCACCGTTTAATTTAATACTTTTGTCAGACTTATTAATGTCTTTACATCGAAACTTCGTATTAAGTAAAGCGTAGAGTAAACTTCCTTCTTCTATGTTTTTTTTTCTTTCCTTTTTCTTAAATAAAATAAGACTAAGACATACCAAATGAGAAATATAAGGACAAGTTTCGTTAGGTTAGTATCTATCGCATATCAAGAAAGCAAAAAATACATGCGCTGATACACACTGTATTTGCCTATGGCGTCTACGTATGTTTGTATCTGAGACGCGCGAGACCACTTTTACTCTAGCAAGAGTATACGACTAGAAGTATTAATATTTAATAATAATGATCAATATACTAAATTGTACCCGAATGGATGGTCACGTTTTTGAGAAGAAATCAGCGTTAAAAGCCATGGAACAAACGAGAAATAATTTCAAATCTTATATATTGCGAACATTTTAATTTTATTTTATTATTATTAGTATATAATTTTTATATTATTATTGTTACACGCTATTAATTAGACTTTTAAGTTTGTTATACAAGATCCACGAAATTCCAATGGAATTTATATGTACATGCGATGATCTTATTTATATGTATACTTTTTCCTCTCTATATTTTTATCTGAAATATATACAAATTTCTTTTAACAAGCGCCGGCGAGTTTTTTATTCAAGTACAAAATGTATATTGGTTTCTCGGCTCTCGAATTGGAGATATAAGCATGTCACGGAATGATAGTTAAAATGCGCGTGTTATGCCAAATCTTGTGCTCAAAGACTGATGGCCATTCATTTGGAGAAGGTTCGTGTATCGTAACCACACGTATCAAGTGTGACGGTCATTGTTTTTTCGCGAAAGGGGCGAAAGAGAGAGAGAGAGAGAGAGAGAGAGAGAGAGAGAGAGAGAGAGAGAGAGAGAGAGAGAGCGAAAGAGAGAGAGAGAAAGAGAAAGAGCGAGCGAGTCAGCAATGTGGATGCATGACACGCGATTATGTTGTGCGAAAAGACAGGACAAGACTATTAGCCTATTTGGCGAACGACGCGCCGCGTGTTACCGAACGCGCGCGGCCGCTGTACCATGAGACTAAAAAAATCGATATCATAATTATGTGTCGTTTGATATAAACGAGTAATAGTATGTATCATCGTTTTATACACAACCTAATTAATATCTCTACGTACACTATGTACATTCCTAGTATACACGCTCTTCACTGTCATACACATTGCATTACACGCGCATAAAGGAGAAAAAGAACGCATGGACCTATTATATACATATATAAATATATATATATATAAATATACATATATAAATATATTTATAATAATTATTGTAGCTATTCCAAAACGGACCACCGCGACATCGACGATTTACGAATGATCGTTAAATTAATGCAAGAGAAAAAAAATTCATCAACGACACCCACGTGCGCATTAATCATCGTCGTCATCATCATTATCATCGGTGATAATGACGTTACGTCAACATATTCACGTATTTCGCGTTGGATAAATACGCCCGATTACGGAGTGTCTCATGTATAACACGCACGAACAGTCCAATCTGTCGACCTGCCTGCTATGTAAAGAACGTTTCTAGTAAACACATACACACTTGAGCGCAATAGAGAGAAAGAGCAAAATATATGAAAAAAATATAGTTTTACAAGATGGCTTTACCGGCCACTCCCTTTAGTTTTATACCTGAGACACGGAAAAGGCTGGAAAGCGATTAGCCGATAATATTTCGAACAACTCTGAGCCTATGTAAAGTTACATTCTTTCACCGATGAATGATTGTACACACACACACACACACACACGATACATGCGTGCGCGTTGGCGCACAGTATTCGCAAAGACAAATATATACACACGCATCTTCTCGAGCTCGTTTATCTCTCAAAAGACTTTGTACCAATTATCTCTTCACTTAGTCCAACATAACGAAATTGAAGAGCGCGACAGCGAATATCGTGGATCGAGAAAAAGAAAAGCGGAAGTTGCGCTCTTAAAATGCGAAATATCAATCTCTTAGCCAAAGTTAGGATTTGCGTTTTTACTTTTTAGTACTTTCTCTTCCCTGTTCTATCCTTTTCCTTTCCTTGCTCCTTTCCTCCCTATCTTCCTACACGACATTATATATTTGACACATCATCATGATTACTATTAATTTTAATTTCTCCGAATAATTTCTCTCACGTATAATATTTATATATGTGTATATGTATATATATATATATATATATGTATGTATATATATATATATATACATATAATATATATTTACCTTTAATAATCGTGGTAATTTTTAGATTTAGAAGAACAATATATTTAGCAGATAGAGATTAAAATATACATATATAAAAATGAAGTATATATATATGTGTGTGTATGCATGTATATATATATACATACACATATGCACACACATATATAAAAGAATACATACATATGTATACATGCATACACACACGCGCGTGTGTGGTGTGTTTGTGTGTACATATGTGTGTATTGATGAAATAATTATTGAGGTCGGAAATTAGAAATTGGAGTCGAGCGCATACAATGCTGCAAAGACGACAACCGGTATATTTTAAGGATTATTAAAGCTCGGGTGTTATACGCGGCGCATACACACGTACACACGTATAAGGTAGCCTTGATTGACGGAACGCCAGTTGAAGCTGCTCTCGCGGAGAATATTCATTGATTGAACAAAAGATGAAGATCAGTAAATGTAAATGTTTGTAAACAAATTATGAAACATTATTTGTTCAGTGCCTACATATTTACACAGTAATAATAAAGATGAAGATTAGTGAAATCATCTGATTCTTTTCAATCTCTGATCCTTCCTGTTTCTTTTCAATAGAAATTGGGAACTGTACGACTTTGCAGATAAAACTTTGTCATCTGTACTCGTTTGATTTTAGTTTCTTTCCTTTATAATTTTTTCAAATCAAAGAAATTTTATAATGATATATCGATATTGCTGAATGTGTTAATTGATGCAATATAATTAAAATTGTATTTTCAATCGCACAGGAAAAGTTTCACGAAAATGAAACCGAGAATTGCGGTAATTTCGCGCCTTTTCTTTCATCGCAAAAATGTACCTATGATCAATCGCCATATTTACCGCATCATTAACGACAAAAAACTAACCTGATATAGTCGTCGATCTTTTCCAAGAACTGACAAACTTCCGAAATCCCCCTACTGCAGGCGATGAAGTTGCGTAAACACGGCAAACAGGCGGCATCGCTTGAAACTGCGCGGTAAACGCCTTTGTGTGTTTTTTTTTCTTTCGCCTTCAGATTTTCTATCATACGTGCCGACACTTGCCGATACTTGAGCATTAGCTGCGACAGTAGCATCTTTCTCTCTTTTCTTAATAGGCTCTCTCGGACCAGTGAACCAGGGTTGTCACACGAACGTTGTACCGCACAAGGGCGCCAAATGAAGAGGACCATTAATTACAAATATAAAAAATACTGATATATAAATAAAATGCCAATTATAAATTTTAAAAGACATAGAAATGCTTAAATATATAAGAAGAAAATTTATTAAAATTAGCTCTTTTAATTGAATTGAAAAATTGCTATGATAATCATATTTTTATGTAGTAATTTATAATAGATTGTATAAATAAATAAATGTACAAATAAAAAATATTTTTGTTGCTCATGCATGTTTTATTGCTGCATGTTATATATAATATTAATTCATTTAATTAACTGACTTTTCTTTAATAATTAGACGTAAATCAACATTTAATTATTCCGTTATTAATTATTAAAACTTTAAATTATACGTCAAAATTTCTGTGACATTTTATTATATTCTTGATTTCAAAACGTCATTTTTTTTTATCTTTCAAAAATTTTCGTTTGAGAAATGTTAACCGAATGTTTGTACAAGGGCGCTTTAAATGGCAGCATCGGTCCTGCAAAGAACCTTCGACAACGCACATCCTTCAGCCAAGTACAGTCGTCCCGTCAGTCGTGCGGCGAAAGTTGCCAAGTTCGGTCGGTGTGCACGATTCGTCGTGACTGCGTGACGTGCGCCAGTGTTTCTCGAAACTCACGTGTAAAAATTAGCTACGATATCGTAGCACATGGACGATTATGTGCGGCATGTTACCAATGCTGCAAGATCGCTGCTCGTTATTTCCGTTCAATCCCAGCCTGGAAGATGAGATCAAGCGGCTGTTCGATCTCACTCTCAACAGAAGGCCGCAGCCAAATGGTATGTTGTAATAACTATTTGTATGGCTAGTGAAGATCTGTACTGTTTATGAAGTGATTATTTACTATCTCATGAATAACGTTTGAGTTCAACTAATTTGATTTGATAATCGTTTTTGTCGTAATTATTGGTAATTATGATTTGCCTAATCACTAGTCATTTGTAGTGTTGCCTGATTTATAACTCTATTATTTGATCTTGTTATAATGGGCCGTTCGAATAGTGGGAAATCTATCATATTTTAGACTGTTTGGAATTAAAACCTAAACAAAAAAGGAAAATATCTTTTAAAAGCTAGTAAATTTTAATTATTTTTATAGTTATGATCTTTGAAAAAGAGAAATATTGTGAAAAAGTGTACCTATACATATTGATATAAAAATTAAAAAGTATTGTATAAAGGAAAGAAAACGTTTTACAACATCAGTTTTTACATTATACAAATCTTTCATTCCTTAAATCTTTCGTTTTATCTTTCATACTTTTGCATTAACGCGATTTGGTCTTTTAATTATACTATATTTTCGATCTGTTGTTCTTTTACTCAAGCCTCAAATAAATATATAACTCAATTTAAATGTAGAAAGTATGAGGGCGAAATCTTGAATTGTTAGAAAGTTTTAAAATATGTAAAAGACGATTAAAGATTTTCCAAAAATAGAATATTAAAAAATATCTTAAAAATTTATATTATGCTATGCAGATACAATACATATGTAACTACGATAGCTTTATTTTTATCTACGGTTTCTTTATAAATCACAGTTCAATATTCTTTTGAAATGTAGAAAGTAAATCTTAGGTAGTTAAACTGCCACTGTCATTAACAAGTGACTATAAAGCAACCATTTGGAACCATTTTAAAAGCTTTGTTAAAGTTGCCACAAAAAGAGAAAACGGATCTCTGTCAGGAAACATAAAATGAATAAAAAAGAAATGTATATGACAAAATCGGAAATTTTCTAGATCTTTCGCAGATTTTTGAATGTGACAGTTACATCATGTTTTGAGTACATCATGTAAAATTAAAGAATTTGATTAGATATGTAAATAATAAATTGTTTTTTAATTATCACTGATTAGAATATTTTTCATCTCATACACTTTGTCTTTTATAGCGATTCGAGTGAGCAATTATGAGAAACATGCGTGGAAAAAAATGTTACATTAGCATGATAAATTAGAAAGAAATTCAGAAAAATTATATTATGACATAGTTAAAAAAGATAAGAAAAGAATATTTTTTCTAAATCTTATTTTTTATTATATACATTTCACTGAAATTATTTGACGCAATATGATTTTCCTTGATTTTATTTTTTTAATATGTCAACGAAAAGTACATTCTTCGATCACTCAACTGTGAGAAGAGTCATATTTTGATCGTCCCACTTGTATTTTATCCGTAATTTGTTCGCGTTTAGTATACGTGCATCTTTCTTCATTCCGACCGATCCTTTATGAACGCGATCGACTGTCGCCGTCAGCACTGATAAATAGTATATTTTATCGACGAGGAAACAAAAACTTTCAGCTTGCTGCAAGGGTGTGTTTATTTCTCGGTACCAATTTTCGATCACGATGACGATAACGATGACTCTCGACGAATATCGCGTTCAGTAAACACTTACAGTCGTTCAGCCCGACAAACGGCCGTGCGTGTTTACAAATCGCGGCGTATTGAATTACATTCTCTTCTATGTGCACCTAAAGACGACTCACGACTGCGATTCCGAAGCAACGGAAAAGATAAGACGTTTGTGTACTTTCCTTTTTTTTATACAGGCTGTTTCGCTGTCTACCAAATTTAATTTTAAAAACTCACTCTTGATTTAATGTCGCAATCATCAAGAACGATGATTTTTGACATGAAGATCTGTTCAATGTTTGATGTAAAATGCCCACTTTTAATATATTAAATTTGAAAAACAAATTATACAATTACTTATACAAAATTACTTGACATATTTAAAGCGGATTCTTTGTAGGAATAAATATAAAATAAGATTAAATAAGTAATGAAATGGGAATAAATGTAATGAATATTTTACACACTATATATTGAACTGAACTTCAATAAATCTTTATTATTTATTAGAAAGTCTTAATATTAATGTAACAATTTTTTTGCATTATACTGTATGTTCAAATATATCTAATGATCCGCTTCATTCTTATTGCAGTCGAAGAAGTGATGGAAGAATTTCGACACAACGGTCGTGATTTTGAATATTGTCCAGACTTGGACACCGACATGGGAAAGCAAATTACACCTCGACGAAAAAAGAATAAAAAGCCATTGCCGACAGAATGCGTCTTTTGTAGAAATAACGGTGAAGAGGAAACATATTATAGAGAACATTTATTGAAGGATGTTGACGGACGCGTTTTGTGTCCAGTTCTCAGGTGCTTTTTTTTATCTTAATAGTGCTTTTAATCAAATTCTTGAAGAAATGTCAGATTTTTTGATATACATACTCTGTTTAGTTCTCAGGTAGAGTTTAATAAAAATATGGATAGTCATTGGCTGCAGTCCACTCGACGCTACAAATTCTTCGAAACGTCAAGTGGACTGCAGGCACCACAGTTGTTATTGTAGCACTTAAAATCTATTGATACAATCAGGAGATTCGGATTAAATCTGGATCTGTTCCGAGCTTATAATTCTGAAAATCAAATTTTTAATCGACAGGGCTTACACGTGCCCGATCTGCGGTGCATGCGGTGATGATGCACACACGGTTAAATACTGTCCAAAGGGTCCTTACAATCCTAACTCCTTGACCACAGCGAGTGCCTTGAAACTCTTGAGAAATTCCACGGGAAAACGTCGCAACAAGTAGGTAAGATGTTACATTATGTTATTTCGATTGTTGTCTATTTTGCAGTAAATGAGAGAAATAAAAAAAGCATACTCATACACGAGTATGCGCGCACCATATATACACAAGATGTATAATAGAGAATAAACAAATTATTTTATAATTGTAACAATAAACCTTATCAAGTATTTTTTGAAAAAGTCTAGAAAGATGTAATTTCCTCTCTCTTTTAATAAATATCTGAAGTAACAATATTTTCTACACGATATTTTCAATAGGAAGAAATAAAGAAGCACGCACGTTTCGAGCATCTGTCTGTATCAACTGCTCCTAGAGGCTACCCTATTGTACCCTATGATACGTCTAACACAAGTTCGTCGTGAGATATGTTGTATCTCTAAGTATTGTGTACAATATTTCTCTTAATATTTGTTCGTATACACAAATACTAACGTTCGACGTGATCTCTCGTATCCTCATGGATACGCTACAATACTGATTTTAAATTGAGATCGAAATTTGACTTTATCAGTTGGTTTCTCGCATTCTTTCTATTTATAATATAATTTATCCTATCTATCTCATTTTTCGTAATAAAATTCATCTCGCATCATGATGCACAATTCATAATTCATATTATATGCGACAGAACCGTGCTGATAAAAAAAAATTTTGATTTAAAGCGAAAAAAAGTTTCGGGAATTGCGTGATTAAGTCAATTTAGCGGGCACAATAAGTGTTACAACATGTCGTGATTTTAGGATTAAATGTAATTTCCAAAGATAATACGTTTAAGCGAGAGAAATCTTAAAAGGTTTAATCAACTCGATTAGACAATATTGTCTTAATAGACAATAATTTAGACATAAGATATTTAATATCTTACGAAAAGCTTATTGCTTTTCAGATTATAAAAAAGAGCTTAATAATGAGGTTACATTCCAAAGATTTTTGATACAAGTATTTGTGAAGAGTTCAGAGATAATATGTGATAAGTACATTTGTAAAATCCATTTTAGATACATATTAGATTTTTATTTTGAGTAAATTTTGAAAATTACGTACTTATCACGTATTTCTTTTTTTTGAATTTTCCATTTATATTCTGACATGTCAATAACGCTATTACTATTTTTTTTCTTGAGGAATATCAAAGAATCAATATGATTTGCGACGATTATAATCCACCATAAAAAAATCGTTAGATACTTTGGACGTAGATGAAAATGTCAAAGCTTGGCGATTTCTTTAATTCTGAAGAACTAATATTTTGACCGTGTGCTTTCTATTTGATTATGATTTACGATTATATAAGTATTTACTAAAAGAGATTGCATTGTTTTTTTATAACACAGCATTCATAATCCGACAGCTTGATTTCGAAGACGTATTTGAACGAAAATTTTGTACAAACTATATGCGTTGCATTGCTTTCAGATAAGAAAATCGCATTTCTAATTTGTCTTGACTTTGAGATGCAACAATAATGATCTTTAAAGAGAAATTTTAGAGTTTTGCTCAGACATTTCTGTAACATGTTTGTTAACATTAGTCTTTTATTTTCTATTCGAATATATATTCCTCTCCCTTTTCTCTTTTCCGTAGAATAAAGTTTTGACCAAACTTTTGCAATCTGAGATATGTACCTCTTTATTTTAATTTATTTTAATTTATTTTTCATTACGACGTTCTACTGAATGTTCCGACGATTATGATCTCATGATTGCATCTTACTTCGCAAATGTTACCATTGAAATTATTAATTTTGAGGATTTATATTGCATTTACGTTATTTGTTTTTTCTTTTTTTTTCGCTCAAATGTTGTGATGATAACTTGTGCCTTACAAAATGTTTTTATAAAATATATATTTCATAATATAGGGTGATAAGATATAACTTAATATATATAATATAATATAAGATAATTATAACCGTGCATTCTATGCATTTTTCTACGAGTTTAAATTTGCATTTTGAGAAAATGAAAAGTATTATCGATTGGTACCGAATGTTTTGGATAGATAGCAAGAAAATAATCGTTTAATTGATACTTAATTTGAGCAACACTTAGATTACAATGATATTAATTTATACATTATAAAATGTATAAATTTTATGTCTACGAGTTATCATCTTGATGTTAAATTGTGTTTGTGAAGGCGTGTCCTTTGCGTGATATCCTATGTCTCTTTATAAAAAATCTATAACAATAGTTTATAATAATTGTGCTTTATCAAAAATTTTATATGTCTAAATATATTTTCGTGAACATTTTATATTTATTCTGCTATATCCATTGGTATGAAATCAGCTATTCTTAATTCTATGTATTGTATATACGTGTTATTACCACATTCGGAAAATATTGGAAACGAGGTGTTGTTACTGTCAGTCTAACCAGTATCTTGTCAAGGCCGTCGAAACAAAAGCTGCTGAAAGCGCGCTTCTTAGTGTTTAGTTTAGACGTAGAGCTGGCTGTTGCTTCGTAGATTTGACAATTTGTGGAAGACGCGCGCTTTTTTTCAGTCGACATTTCTTTCCAATATTTCTTAAAATTCACGAAAGGACACACTTCGTTTTCAGCACATTTTGTATATATGTTTAATAAAAAATAAATGTACAAAAAAATTATATTTGTTGACGATAGACAACATAAAAGCTAATATATTTTGTTTATGGGAAAATTTTTTAATTTTTACTTATGTATGCATCATTTCTTTTTTTTTCTTGTAATTATTATTTTGAAAAATTTATTAAATTGCGGTGAAATTACGTTGAAACAATAATTTTGTGAAAAAACGTAAGTTTTCTTCGTTATGAAACTTGTAGATCAGCCGCATGATAAAATTTTTTTATGTCGAAGCTTTCATTAAAAAACTATTAAATATTTGAGTTACACAGAGATTAACTTAATATTGAAATTTGAGTTTTCAACTTTTCTTTTTTTTGTTACTCATACGATAAAATGTTAATGTAGAATATAAGATAGTGTAAATTGATTCAATTCAGCGCTATTGTTGTCTTAATTTCATCTCGACAATCAAATAAAAACAGCCAATATTTATGGTACCTTTCGCAAATTAGCAATATTCAATAGATTATACATGAGTAGTTATTATCCATCTTTAAAACATTTCAGTTTTTGAAAGAATTAAAATTCCTTTTTCTATTAATTATTTTCATCATATTAACAAATTTATCTATATATTCTGTTAATTTTCAAAAATGTACAAATAATTTCTTGAATATGAAAATAAGACAATATACAGAAAATCAGATATTTATAATTTACAAATATTATATTTATATTCCAATACACATGTGAGCGTTGAATTGTAAAAAGTTTTAAAACTGGTCAAGAAAAATACTACGCGGTATCTTTTTATTTTATAGCAAAAATATTTCACATTAAACACTATCTTTCAACGGCAGCTTTTCAAAAATTGAAATATTTTGAAGATTTTACATGAACTGAAAGAAAGAAAAAGTAAAACATACTCGAATTAAGGGCAATACCATAAATATACATAATAGTTTTGTGCCATCATACTTGTGATGCGTTAAATAATATGTAAAAATATTACGAATTGTTCCTATTAGAAATTAATAATAAACTTGTAGCGTGCTATGTTAAGTATCTAAGATGTTGAAATATGATACGTAATTTGTATTACGAAACATACCATTTTTTAATAGTGCGAATATGCTCTTACTTTTGTAAGATAATACGTATCGTATTTTGATGATATACCTGACTAAACTTTAGAATTTCTACGGATACTATACAGTGCTACTATAATATCATAACTGATTATTCATAGTAAGGCGCGAGATGACGTTACAGTAATTCAAAACCGTACAGCGACGGTATTCGCGATTAAGAACAGTACCAAGTGATTAGCAGCACGTAAGACTAAATTTTATATATCTATATAGATATCTATATAGATGAAAGTTCAAAAATAATAAAATGAATTTGAATACGAATAAGTTTAGAGTAAACGTGCATATCGCGACTCTAAACTTGATCAAATTGAAATTTATTTTACTATGTTTAATCTTTCGTCTATATAAAAACAATTTATTCTTACATATTTATATATATTATATATATAATATGTATAAATAAATAAAACGTCAGAATTGCGTTTTTGTTTACGTGCGTAGATTAAATTTTACACATAGATTTTTCACACATATTATATCCAAAACGCGTGTTTACGAGTTTGCAGAATAAAATTTTTTGGATTTTTATTTTCATTATTCGCTCTAATATCGTACAAAAATCTCCGCCTATTTAGAATTCTTGTTTATTCTGGACCTGCTTTTTTGTAATTATTTGTATTTTAAGATTATATTATGCGTTTTGTCATAATTACCATCTCGCCGTTCCGATATTTGTAGCAAAGTTAGTAATTATTCTTATTTTCACTATATTAATGTATTATTTAAAATATATTTGTACAAAAAATTGTATTATGCTGAATAATGGTTAATAAAGAATGTATGCATTTAAATAAAAGCTGCGCTCTATTCATCTTTCTCTGCATAATATATGTATCTTTCATAAATTTCTTCAATAGTGTATCTAATCTCACAATATATTTATCGACAATTATATGTAGGTAACACTTTCTGCCACTTTATGGTGTGGATGGGTTAAAAATAAATCTTTAGATATTGCATAACTATCTTTAATAGAATCTTTTCTATATAATATACATATAGATAGATCAGTTTCATAATTTACTCGACGACAACCTAATTTGCATAATCTTTAGTATTTTTCAATCAATCCAAATTAAATGAACCATTATATTATTTTAACGTTAGTATTTAATTATATAATTTAATTATATTATTCCGACTCACAATGATTTTTTTATGTGCTTATAAAATTTTTAGTAATTGCTATTTGCTATCTTTTGTCGACTATTGAGTAAGTAGGTCATGTCTTTGTATTCGACTGGTTAAACAGATTGTCCTTCACACATTGTACAGTGTACATATTATTAAAATCTCTGGCGAAATTATCTGATCGTACTTATTCCAATTTAACAATGCATTTGTTATCTTTGGTGTTAATTATCAATTAAATAGGCCATTCTCCTGTATATTTGATCAATTAAACAAATTGTCGTTTATTGTTTTATATAAACTCTTTGTATAACTTTTATGTAACATTTATTTTATTATATTATAAAAAATAATTCCTATTCTATTAATATTTTTAAATAGGTATTGGTACATCCATACATCATTATTACATTTCACCTTCAAAAATTAACTGGCATGACAAAAGATACGCTATTAGCGTCATATCTGAATCTGGACATTCCCCATAAACTAGCACATCCTGTGTACATAAACGTGCGCTCGTGTTCAAAATCGTTCATAGATCGCGAGCCGCCGCGATAGAAACGACTCGTCGTCATCATGTCGTGGTTCTTCGTGCTACTGGTGAATACAGTTATTACGATAACAATGATCGACGTTATGTCCTCAGAAGGTGCAAATCGCGGATCCAATCAGATCGAAAGACCGATTATGATTCGGATGAGAGATATTGATTTTCCTCGAAGTGCAAACGTGATGTTCACCGGCTCCTCGTCCTCTCTATTTTTTCTGCATTTGTTCAAATACAAGCCGCAAATACAATACCAGAAGCTGGATAAGATCCCTACTACTACTCCGATGGCCAGAGATTGCATTTGCGTACCGTTTTATCTATGCGACGATAATCAGACTGTCATAACTGATGGTACAGGTGTAATCAATCCACGGTGAGTCAATCATTGAAATTCGATATTTAATCGATATTATTTTTGTAGCTAATTTATCGATGTCGAATTCTAATTACCCATTTAATTTAACTTTCATCTCGTTTTAATTTTATTTTTATAAAAAAAATTTTTTTAATCTGGACGATTCAAAAGTTATAATTTTGCTTCACGCCAAACTTACTTCATCTTTACTTAATTTATTTCTTTATATGATTTTAAATTGATTTAATTTTCTATTCTTTTAAATTCACATTTTTAATTGCTAAACCAAGTTTCAAATTAAGTAAGATTGATGAAATCAATTTCTAAAATATTATAATGTAAACCATTAACATGTTTAGTGTTCGGATATGCACCGGAGACTTCGAAGTCTGCTGCTATCTGCGAAATGCCACAATACCACCGACGATACCAACAATTCCACCGACGATACCAACAATTCCACCAACAATTCCACCGACAATACCAACAATTCCTCCAACGATGCCACCAACGATACCACCGACGATGCCACCGACGATGCCACCGACGATGCCACCGACGATGCCACCAACGATGCCACCAACGATACCACCGACGATGCCGCCGACAATGCCGCCGACGATGCCGCCGACGATGCCGCCGACAATACCCCCGATAGTTTTTCCCACCAATACACCGAGTCCTCCCGTGACTGGATTTCCGAATTTAAACTGCATCTGTGTAGTAATATCGCTGTGCAATCCTAGTGGAGTAGTTATTTTTGCCGGCGAAGGTGTACTAATTCCGCGACAGCAAAACATACTGTGTCCCGGTGCCAACCTGGTCTGCTGCATGATACTAGCGAACGTGACGCAACCAACGATACCACCGACGATGATGCCCACGACAACTACGATATCACCGACGACTGCACCACCTGGACAGACACAGCTGTGTTTTGTGTGCGGCAACACCGTTCAATGTTTTACTTGTGCAATCATTATCACGCCTGGCGGTGGCGGTATGATCGATCCCAGATTTTCTCAGATATTATCGGAAGGAAATATCTGCGCGGCGGCAAGTTTGCCGACCTGTCAAAACACGATGATGAAACCGATCACGGAACTGTTAGGCCGGTTGAAGAATCCGAACACACCGCAAGCTTGTTATTGCGTAAAAACCTGGCTGTGCTCCGCGGGCAACGCGGTCAGCCCGGATGGTCTTGGTATAATTGATTCGAGATTCACCGCGTGCTCGTCGCCGGACGAAGTGTGCTGTCGACTCGCGGGAATCGATCTTCTTCGTAACATCGGCAAACGCAGTTCTGCACCCGCACTTGAAAGTTTCACCGTAAAAGGACGGTCTGATCACTCGTTTCCTCAAATCAATTGCGGTATACAGAACAACAGTTATGCACCGTGTAAGTATAAACAAACCCATAAAAATGAAAAATTGTACATGTAAAATTTAATTCTTTTATTTAATAATTGAGGAAATAACACATCTTTGCTTCGTTGCAAATAAGAAACAATTATTCCAAAATTATATTAATCTATAAATTATTTTTCTGAATTTAATTGTTTAATATAAGAGACAGCGCGAATATCAAAGTACAAAGGAATTCCTTTACTATCAAAAGATACAAAGTGATAAAACGTTTTGGCCCAATTTCATCCTCAGTCTAGCGGGATTATAATTGGTAAGACACGTGGAGTTAACATGCGGCTGTCACTTTCCAGCGCGCCGGCAGCGTAATCAAGCATTTAAAACTGCTACAAGTTAATTCAAGTTATATTTGAATGATAATAATAATAATTGTTGATCGTGTTTACAGCGCAGCCTTTTTCCGCTGACTCTGGAAAAACTTATTTCGCCGAGTTTCCATGGATGGTCGCACTTCTCGTAAAATCCGCAATCAGCGGTCCTTATACTTTCAAGTGCGGTGCTTCGATAATCAGTAACGCTGCTATTATCACTGCCGCACATTGCGTAATAAAGTACGTATATAGATTGAAGTCAAACGGCTGAAATATACACAATTTTTTATAAAAACTAATGTAATTATAACAATTAAATACCTAGTCACAGAGAATTGTGCTAGATTTTACGAATAGAATACTTAAAATTTTACGAATAGAATACTTAAAATAAACAATAAAACAATGTATACAATTTTTATCAATATTTTACACCATGATCTACTTTTTTGTCTTAAATTTACAACAGCGAAAAACCTGAGAACTTGGTGGCACGCTTCGGTCAATGGAATATAGAAAATAGCATTCAACCACTACCTATTCAAGAAGCAAATATTTTCACGATAGTTGTACACCCTTTGTACTACAGCGGCGGACTATTCCATGATGTAGCTGTCCTTGTTTTGGAGAAACCAATTACCTATAGCGCTAATGTTTTTCCGATTTGCCTTCCCGAGCAAGGTATGGTTTTCCCGACCGGAGCCAGATGCTACGGAATAGGATGGGGTAGCAATTCATTCGGTAAGCGTCGAGTCAAATTTATTATGAACTAAATCCTTATTATTTCTTTATCATGAAAATCATCATTCACGCATACATTTATTATACTATTATATTTTGAAACTAGAAGGAAAGTATCAAGCGGAACTTCGAAAGATAGACCTTCCTATTGTCGACAGAACGGACTGTCAAACGCGCTTACGAAGCACGAAATTAGGCCAATATTTTCAATTGCATGGATCATTTATTTGCGCGGGAGGTGAAGCGAACAGAGATACGTGTCGTGGTGATGGCGGTGGACCTTTGGCTTGCCAAGCTACCACAGGACAATTTTTCCAGGTAAATCAGATTATTATAAAAATATTTGAACAGTGAGTAGAATAATAAAGTGGAATGAATAGATGTAGAGCTTTCTAATCAGTTTTTTTTTAAACATTTTTTTGCACATTGATCTAAGTATTCGCAATTTTAAATTGCACTAAATTCTTTATCGTTTTAATTAGCAATAATTATGTTTTATTGTTACTTAATATTTTATTTATCTATTTATTATCTATTTGATACAAATTAAGATGGAATAAGAATAAATTTTTATTTCAGGCTGGTATTGTATCGTGGGGTATTGATTGTGGTGTTTCTAATATTCCTGCAGTATACTCTAGTGTATCACAGCATCGTCAATGGATAGATCAGCAGCTCGCAACTTACGGAGTATAGCAATGTGTAGTATATTTAGTATTTTTGTGGCTCAACAATTGGCGCTATGTACTTTTTACTGGAACATTATTATATATTACACATTACGTGCAGTGAAAGAAAAGTCAAGAAGCAATCAGAAAAAAATATAAAATGACAAATAATTTTCGCATAAATTATACTATTTTTTGTAATTTTCTCGAATATTTTGTATGTGCTCTGCATTTTGTTGTATTCTGACTACATTGTAAGCAATAAATGAATAATCGTATTCTCCGAAGTAAGTAGTTGAATATATGAATATATGTATTTTAGACCTGTCCTCAGTATCAGTTATGTAAAAGACTTTATCACAATATAATATCACATAATGTGTAAAAGGGACTCGAACATCAAATGTATCGTTGCCTTAGTTAACGTCGAAGTAAATTCTTCGTACATATGCATTGTATAATATGTAAAAATAATTTTTTTATAAGATTAAACACGATCTATTACTATTAATAATATTATTACTATTAATAATGCATACTATTTTTTAGCCTAAAACACAATATTGTTATATTTGAATTCTTGTGGTAAAAAATGATTGTAATCTTTATTGTTAAAAATTAAAATTATTAAAAACGTAGTGAAAAAAAACTTCCACCGTGACAATGTTTTTCACATTGCCGTGACCAGGATTCGAACCTGGGTTACTACGGCCACAACGTAGGGTCCTAACCACTAGACGATCACGGCTATTGGAAGATATAATGATACGTTCGAGAATTAGATATAATAAAGTCGTATATAGTAATATAATTTAATTATATGTTTAATTAATTCATTTAAACGTAATAAATTATATTAAATTAATAAGATTAATTGTGTCAGATAAAATTTTTAATTTAAGAATTCAAATTTTTGTATACGTAAGATATTTAAAAAAATTTATTTTAACACAATAATACAAAAAACAATTCTATTTTCATAATTGTTTTTAAATTATAAAAATTTAAAAATTAGCAAAACAAATATCTTATGCATCATTAAGATCTTAGAAAAGATTGTATTTAATATTTAAGTATGAACAAACAAGCGATAAAATAATTGAAGAGATTAATAAAAAAAAAATAAAAAAAAGCTTCCACCGTGACAATGTTTTTCACATTGCCGTGACCAGGATTCGAACCTGGGTTACTACGGCCACAACGTAGGGTCTAACCACTAGACGATCACGGCTATTGGAAGAACCATTTCCAACTCAGAAGAGTTGAGAGTAACAGACACGCGAGTAAAAAAAATTTTAAATATTAAGTTAAATTAAAGAAAAGTTTGTTTGAATTTCAAACCAAAAATCAAATTTAAATATTAAATAATTCTATACGATTGATGTTTAAGATATATTGAATTTGTCAGCAATATTTCTCGTGATGTGCTGCGTTGATTATTTTTAATTAATATGATCTCTATCTATTGTGGAGGGTCTTTCTGACCGTGAGACGTCTTTCAAAAAAAAAGATCTTTGACTTGAAACTTTGAAAACCAGTTTTAGCAAGTTCTGCTCGTCGCATTACATTCTTATACACTGCATATTTCTTTCTGTATTTGCGTTGCGTTTTTACTTTTTAAAAAATAAAGAAGCATATAATGGTGAAAGTACAATTTACTATTTTTTTAATTTTTAATCTACACTGCATAAGTATAATTTTTTAAATATTTTATATTTTTGGAAAATTTTATTCTTTATTGGAGCCAAAGGATTAGTTTGAGATTTGTCTTAAAAGATAGTATACATAAAAAAGAAATTTAATCTGAAATCGAGGAATACATTAGCTTTACGAAACCAAATGATGACAAATATTTGCACAATCTTTTCGACAAAATATTTTATATCAACTATTTATGTAAATATGCATGCTTTCATAGAAAACTATTGCCAACAATAGTATTATTCGCATTTTGATGAGAAGATAACTGTTTAATTGAGCTACGTGCAATATATTCATGACTTCCTGCTAACGATTAATTGTCACTGATAATAATCTTTTTGCTGATAATAGAATATTTTAATTTCACCTCCTTGCAAACCAGTATTGAATTTATTGTTGCAAATACTACATAAACTTCTGCCTTTTTTTAACTATTATAACTGCAAAAAATTAATAATAAAAGAACTCATCTTTCGCATTTCTATATGAGAGCATTTTTAATTTGGAATCAATCAATATATATATATACTCGTATATTCACAAGGTTCATGCGTCATAAGAATGGGAATTTTGTATTTCGAAAACGAGTTTCATTAAAACCTCCAGGAAAATCACGTCAACTCAGGGTCGACGTATGAGTGGGAAATGCCGGTTCTCCAAGTCTACAGTCCACTACAGTCTTCTCGAAGTAGTAATGACGGTACTCGGCATGGCAAGAAGGAAGGTGGGGAGAATTTGTAATGCTCAGAGTAGGGATTCCTGCGTGGAGGAAACCACAGTTCTACACTCAGAACCGTGCTAATCGCTGCTCCAAGACATTCGTTCATTGTTCGCTTTTGGTGAGTACCCGAAATAAATTTTGTACTTTATCGAAATCCAAAGGAAATTTTCTTTCCCCAATTTTTCTAAATAAATATCAATGTCTTCTTTTTATAGTCTTAACAATATTTAAATTTCGACAAAATTATTCGGTAGTAATGATAATATTTTCCAAGATTCGTGGAGATTTTCTATAATAGCAAAGAACTTAGTTTTTATAGCCTTTTGATATAATAATCTCTAAAATTACATAATTATGTGATATTGGCCTGACGAAATACGTTGATCATATCAGTTTGTGATCGCGTCATTCTGATATTCGTCAAAGGTCAGTGGCAAATTATTTCGAATAAGTACATTAAAATAGGATAAAACGACCAAAATGATTATATAATGTGCCACCGTGCTAATTTCAACACGTTGATTACCCTTGAATAATGGAATTCAAAAAAATGTTGAACACTTGAAAAGTGGAAAAACAGAAAAATGTGGAATAATTAGCAAAATATTCTTTGATCTCATATAAAGTCTATCAGCAGAAAGCGTTTATGTACGTAAACAAAATAAGGAAAATATTTTCTTTTAATGACGCATATTGCAATATACATTTTTATTGCGGAAGCAACTTAGAGATAATGCTAATTGCAAGAGAACATTAAATGTCCTGAATAATTTGTAGTCAAATTATTGCAGCGTCTCATATTTTTGAAAATATGGTCACATATTTTTAGAAATAATTATGGATTCTTTTTGAAAAAGATTTGTATTTATTTATAAAATTAAATATCGAAATCAAATACTAAATTTTTAAAATGATTTATCGCAATTATTGCGAATGTGTTATTATAATTATGTAATATGTACGTTTCTATATGTGTTACGTGTCTAATATATATAAATAATATTGTGTCTTTTTTATTATATTTTAACAATTCTTTCTATTAATAAACAGGAATAAATTAGTAAAAAAAAAGAATGATATATTATTAAATGTTTTAGCATAATTTTTGTTTGTATTTTTGATATTTAGAAATATTTCCATATAAATTTAGCACAGACTGTTTATTCTGTTGACGTTTGAAGTAGGAACATTATTATCCACGCTTGTTTTTATTTGATAATGTTTTTTTATGATAGCCGAGAATCATCAAAGGCTAAATTGCTTTACATCAATTATCGTACGAGAAACGAAGTCCGGGAACTTCACGGATCGCTAAATTCCTAGTTTGCATTTACTTCCTCTGATTTTTTTAAGTTGCATTACAACGATTGCTGCGTCATCGCTAATTATAGTTACAAAAAAGAAATATCTCTTTGGCACTTACGATTGCCATTACGAAAACTTCTCGGAACGGAGCATAAAACAGCACGATTTCGCGATGTAGTTTTAAATATCTTACACTATTTTTTATGCCGGCTTTAGACTCAAATCCTTGGGTTTAGCGTGAAGGATGTGGCGAGTGATTCCCGCACTGACCTTGGTCATCGTGGCAGCGGCATTGCCTGCGGCGCAACAAGATAGTGGTAGCCTCGACAGTCTCATTGACCAAGCGTTTCCCGAGGCCAAGACATCTCCTCCATCCGTACCCCAGATAGGCGGCGATCTCGACAGTCTAATCCAGGACGTCTTTCAAACCGGAAACGCCACCACTGTTCCAAGTGTAATTCTTGGTACCAATAACCAACCACCCCAAAAACCCGAAGACTGCGAGTGCGTGCCTTATTACCAATGCAAAGAGGGCAAAATTTTGGATAATGGAATTGGCATCATCGATATCAGGTCCGATTTTGCTGATAACAATGGGCAGTCCCAGGGGTAAGTTTATTTACCAAAGATCGGAGTCTCGGCCGATTCTCTATCGAGGCGATACGGATGGCATGCTGTAAAACTCTTATCTACGACGGTCAAGGATATAATGTGTCGATTAACTCTTTTCAGTATGATAAAATCAAGATTGGGAAACACTTTTTTTTTAATAACTATTGGTTTTTATAGTGCAATCGTATGCGATAACGATTAATAGGTCTCTTTCATTATTACAAAGGATTACATGATTACTGATTGATTGATTCCTTTCGTTTTTTTAGTTAGATTTTATAACGCATAATTCTCTTCATTCTTCTTTTAATTTGAGTCTTTGTAATTTACAAAAAATAGCGTCATCGAATATGGCATGGTATTTGCAACAAGTGGTTTGAGTTATATACGGGGAGTGATTCTGTTAGAAGAAAAGCGGAAACGTTGCTAAATCAGAAACGGTTTGCGGTTTCTTTGTTATATGCACAGTGACTAGCTCCCGATACAATACTGTGCACTCATAAGTGACAATGTAATTAAATATATTCCATGAAGCAACTGTTGCGCTTATCGAGGGCATTGCATTACATTGCAACAATGTTAAAAAAATGACATTATCATTATTATAATTGAGAGTAGTTGAATTATTTTAATAGTAACAATTAAAACCGGAGATGAAATTGATATATTGTAATCACTGAAATATTGAAACGTCGCTATCGAAATTAATTGCTATTTGAAATAAAATTCAGTCTGAAGCGGAATACATTATTTATCAGAAATTAACGCAATTTGCGATTAATATCTTTTAAAAATATTCTCTGTATATAGTTGATTCTGCATGTATGTACATATAGACATTTCTGACTTCGTAATGAAATAAAACTAAATTGGTAAACATTGTGCTTTTCAGACGTTGGAATTTTTATTTTTAAATTCGCTGATTTTTGTAAGCATGCCTCCTTACTCACGCCGCATGAGACTATCTTTGGAAAACAACATTCTCCTGGAGCTGCCAATAAACAATAACTCCTGTAATATTTAGCACGTACAATTACAACAAATCTCATCGCGATTAATAAATATACTATCGCTCAAGACAGACAGACAGAAGGCAATTGTGGAAAACGTTGGAAATATAATTGCTCATGTTTAAATAATCACTTAATAATTCGTGATTAATTAATATCTAAAAAATGTGATATTTAAGAAAATACTGATGTTGCTTCTACAAATTCTAACTAACGAATTTTAAGTTGATAATTTGTCAATGTTTAAAAGATTTTTAAAAGTAGAAGTTTATTTAACAAATTGTCAATGTTAATAAAGTTAGTAGAATAAGAAAATTACGCTCAAAATTATCAAAACTTTGCTAGTTAAAAAACGACAAAACTTTTGTTTTTACTCTTTTACATATTTTTTAAATGTCTTCTAAGTTATTTTTAGATTTTTCTCTTAATTTTGTCTACTTATTCGATTGAACAAGCGTGTTCAAATTAATCGAGATGATCAAGAATAATTAATCTTATTATTTTCATAATACATTATAAATATTTAGAGGTGTCGGGCCGTGTGAAAACTATTTGGATGTTTGCTGCAAACCACCAAATATACAGCCACCATCCACGCCGCCAACAATCAATAGAATCGGATGCGGCCAGCGACATCCCGAAGGAGTCGGTTTCAGAATCACCGGCCAGACCGACAATGAGGCACAATTTGGCGAATTTCCATGGACAGTGGCTATTTTGAAGGAAGAGGCCATAGGAAACGACGGCCAGAAATTGAACGTTTATCAATGCGGCGGAGCTCTTATTCATAGACAGGTCGTTCTTACCGCGGGTCATTGCGTTAATGGGTCAGTAAACAGTTTGTCATGAATGTCTTTATGATGACAAGTGATATTTTTATATGTAACCACTTGAAAAGTTAGTTAAAAAAACTTGACAAATGACTGATCTATTTGCCTCAATTGTAATCTGTGTAACAAGTAAAATATGAAAGGAAAGCTATGATTACATACGATACAAATGCTATTCGAAATGTTGGAGTAAAGATAAATAGCTTTTGCCAGAAATAAGTATTATTTTGCATTTTTATTTCTTGATTATTTTTCTGACTTAATGTATTTTGATCAATAGAAAGCAACCGAACGAGCTAAAAATCCGCGCGGGCGAATGGGACACGCAAACGAAGAACGAGATCTTTCCGCATCAAGACCGCGATGTGGAGAAAGTTATAGTTCATGAGAATTTCCATTCGGGTGCACTCTATAACGATTACGCTATCCTGATCCTGAAGGAGCCAGTCGAATACGCAGACAATGTGGATATCATATGTCTACCAGAAACGAACGCGATCTTCGATGAATCGAGATGCTTTGCCAGCGGATGGGGAAAAGATGTATTTGGTAAGTAATGCAAAAAAAATGGTAAGCAATTTCACACAACATGCATATCCTGAGGACGTTCAGAAGACATTCCAAAGATATTGTATCTCTTAAAGATATCTTCGGGATGTATGCTGGACGTCTTTTGGATATGCGTGCTGTGTGGGATGTAAAACAAAAAAAAAGAATATTGTAAAATGGACCAAAACGTTTCTGTAGTGTTATTCTATGGAATAATTTGTCTCATTGTCAGCCTGAATTATAATTGACAGCGTTGTTTTAAATCATATTGTTGAAAAATTAATAACTTAAGTTATAAAATTCAAGCTGATAGTTTTATATAGCGGTATTTAATTATAGGCAAAGAAGGACGTTATCAAGTGATCTTGAAGAGGGTGGAACTTCCCGTGGTACCCCATGATACATGCCAAAATATTCTACGTACCACAAGATTAGGAAAATACTTCGTTTTGGACAGAAGCTTTATCTGCGCGGGTGGGGAAGCAGGAAAAGATACATGCAAGGTAATACTAAAGCATTCTTGTACGCATAATTTCATTTAAATATATTTAGTGCAATTCTATAAAATATATACCTTAGTTTCATTTAATTTAAGTAATTCAATAATTCAAAATTGCAAATCTCTGTCTTGGTGTTTTTTTCGAAAGCTCAATAAATCCATTTTTTAAATCCATCTTTTAATTTATAGTGAAAAAGTGATTCTTTATAATTTTTTTCTGTAGGGCGACGGTGGAAGTCCGCTGGTGTGTCCTTTAAGAAACGATCCAAAAAGATATGTTCAAGCTGGAATCGTCGCTTGGGGACTTGGTTGCGGTGATACTGGACTTCCGGGCGTTTATGCTAACATAGCTTACGCTCGCCGATGGATTGACGAGCAGATGGCCTTTCATAATTTAGATAATACAGTCTATCAGTATCCTAATTGATAACTGTTATTATCCGATGTGCCAATCGCGTGAATTTGTTCGGAATGATTAAATTACATGTATTGCGTTAATGTATGCGTTTTTATAGAGAGTTTCTTGCGCTGAATACATCGAGAACAAATGTGATGGTTAACAAGATGCATGTTGACCTAATACTCATTGTCAAATGATATAAATTAGAGTAGTATAAATCTCTTTAAAGTTAAGAATTGCGTGTTACATTTTATTTGTCGACGGAGTGACGCGTTTAAATATGACTATAGATTTATGTAATGAATAAGCATTATAAAAATCAATGTATAAAATTTTATATGTGAAATACAAGTCAGTAATACATTTTTATTATAAATAGAGAAAAAGTAGTGCTAAATTATTATATTATATTAGATTATATTATTATCAAATTATATTAAAACCTTCAAAATATTATAATAATTTTTAATTAATCAACTGTCAGTTTGTTATAATACTATTCAGTTAAAGATAGCAATTGCGACTTTTTTGATCAAATTACACAATTTTGAAACCAAATCTGCATTTTTTACGCTAATACTAATACCGGTAGGAAACGTTATTTTCCATAAAATGTAGGATTGGTTTTAAAGTTGCATTATTCGGACAAAAAATCATAGCAAAGGAGGATGAGTAAAATAGGCCGATTTTGGCCCCCGATTTTGGGGAGCGACAAGTAAAAACGATATGTTTTTTTTGTAATTTTTGAGTTGCTGAATCTAAATCTGACCTTTAAAAATGTCTAATCTGTCGGGAAAATATTAAAATCAGCATATAAAGCTGTCAAATATCTAAAACCGTGAATTATTATTATTGAGCTTTACAAACGTATTAATTCGTGTTTTCCTACTAGTAAAACATGATAATATTCTCATCTCTAATAGTTCATGTTCTGCTTGATAAAAAAAGTAAAAATTGTTAATATCTAAAAACAGAGGCATTATCGATGGAAACCATTTTAAGTCTTGACTACTGCACCTGAGAGCATTGTTGTTTATTACGCCTTACAATTTTCTCCACACTCATAAGTATAATAGATTTCAGTTTATTAAAAGTATTTTATTATTGTAGTATTTTTACTATTTGTGTCAACTTGTGTCTTTTACTGGAAAACAACCATAGTATATTTTATCATTACAAACTGTAAGATTCACGTAAAATATATTTTTAAGTATCAAGATCCACTTTGACCAAATAAGGCCTTCTTTATTTATTAATTTGTGTTGTTAATATATCGATCAATTTTCACTTAATATTGTTTATTTCACTATTGTTTTATTAACATACCATTCTTATAATAGCTTCTTACCCAAGTAGCATATGTTTGTTTTATATACGTTTCCTAAGTGTATCCAATGTTTCTTAACCGTTAAGCATCAATAAGAAACATTTTTGAAACCATTCAACAGAAACATTTTTGAAACCATAATTTAAAAAACGTTTTTTTTCACGTTTTTAATTCAAAATTATGTATACGTATAAGCACTACAGAGACTACATGTTAATTTCTATTTCCAAATGTGCGAATACTAAAAAGAGCGTTGAGATTAGAATTATCGATTTTCATGTATAGATCATAACAGTGGTGCGATGTTTTCTACCGGGCTCCCGGCTTCCGAGCCCCACACAAGCGAGAAGCGTGTACATGTGCTGAACGCTTTGCGCAGCATATGTACGCTGTGTACAGTACGCACTTCTCGCTTGTGGGGCTCGGAAGTCGGGAGCACAGTAGGAAACATTGCATCACTGGATCATAGCCGTTATGACATGACTTACGACTTGACCTATTTCATATCAAAACGCCGAACGCCAAAATTTATATCAAATATCTTCGCACTTCTGCGGCAAATAAGGTGAGTTATATATGTATATTGAAATACAATAATAATATTAAGACTCCAATAAAAATATCAATTAATATTAAGTGAAAAGGCAAAAAGAGTCGTTGCTAGTTATTCATGCAATATATTATACCATATACGGAGTGTACGGGTGGTTTCAGACCACCCGTACACCCCGTTTAAAAACGAGAGAAGTGGTTATTTAAAAAAATGTTTCAGATAAAAGTTGTTGATGATCAAGTAATGCATTACATGAGCATATGCGATTGACCTTAAATGGCGTCGTGAAGGTCATGTCAAGGTCGACTTGAATTTTTTAAACGGGAACCCTTACTTTTTGTTTCATATTCTTGTAGCTGACGTGAAGGCGTTTTCGAAACACTGGTTACAAACCCTTTTTAGTTGAGATCTTCCTGAGTTATAAGACTTCAAAATTTAAGTACCGCCGGTGTTAGCATTACCCAAGATGTACCGCGTGGAGGTCGCACGGTCGGATTAATTGCTTTCCCTTTGAAAATTATTTGGAAAAATTAAAAAAACTTGTAAGATAACCCGCAAATCCTCATGCACAACTTTGTAGACGTATATTTGAACTCTCTTATTATTCAAAGGCTGAATTACCAGTAACTAAATTAGAACCAAAAGCATTTTGAAAGACTTACACTCAGAAATACAACTGACTTGATTGTGCAATACAAGAAATTAAAAACACCGACATATGCTTTGATGATTTTTTCCCATGACAATTGCGTTTCAATAGAAGAGATATCGTTGTTCAGATTGTAAACATTCTGTGCTTGGAAAATCAATTTTATTCTTTAATTTGTCGTCGATTCTTGAAAGTTTCTGAGTTTTATAATTATCCATATTCGTCCAAACTATTGAACATTTTTAAGCTGTCTCACATATCACCTGACATTGAAGAATTTCCTTTTGCAACAGTAAAATATAAAAACATGTTATTATATGAAAAAGGGATATGAAAAAGGGACTTACATTATGTTCCCTCTTCTTCATGAATTATAATTAATGCATTTCTTTTGTGTTATATATTGTATACAGGGTGTCTGGCAATAATCGCCCTACCGGTTATATACAGGTAGAGGAGGTCAAACCGAGTAGAAAAGTCCTTTACGTATTTTTTGTATTTTCGTAATAAGTACTGAGTAATTAACGAAAAAGATCGGCAAATCCGCGCGAGTAAAGCACGCGCGGCGAGAAGGACGTCCCACTATTACGTGATCGCTAAGACGCAAGGATCTTAGCGTTACGCACCGTTCGTAAGTTACCGTTGTCATTTGTAGAGCGCTCCTTCCAACGCTTTATCGCGCGCCTAGTGATCGCGTAGCAGTGGGACGTTCTTCTCGCCGCGGATCTTTTTTCGTTAATTACTCAGTACTTATTACGAAAATCAAAAAATGATAAAGGACTTTTCTACTCGGTTTGAACTCCTCTACCTGTATATGACCAATGGGGAGATTATTGCCAGACACCCTGTATATTATTGTATATATTTATTGCATATATTATTTTTTTAAAAAGAGCAGTGTCAGTATCAGTTTTTAAACTAAGTAAGTTAATAATTTTGTTTAAAAAGGTTTCAAACTAAATTTATTTATATTTAATTATATTTAGTTATAAAAGCTTGAATGTTCTACTCTATTTTGTAAAAATATTATATTTTTATTTTTTTCAGATTATAATGTATTCGTTAATAGAATTCCCTATGAATTGTGGACAAAAACCTGAAGTTGAGGTAGTTCCCAATATTTGGTTGGATAAAAAGGAAGAAACATGCTATTGTTTTTGGCCGCAAACAGCTTCCACAAAACAAATTCGCAAGGCTATTGAGAAATGTTATTTACCAGAAAAAAACTGGATAAAATATAAATGTAGAGTATTGCATACATATGGTAAATTTTTTTATTTTTATTAGTATTTATTAGTAGTTCCAGCACTAGCTATTCTAATAATTCTTCACTAGTATGGCCAATAATTCACTTGCAATAGGGATACTACTGGTCACTGACCAGTATCATTACTGACTAGTACCAAATTCCCAGTAGTACAACCATAAAATCCAGTAACACTTCTCAGAATCATTAGTGTATTACTGGCCAGCCAGTAATATTTTTCTGTAAGGGCTTATTACCCCAATATTTAACATATATTAGAAACTTAATCTATTTTTTATTAGATTATTTCTTATCCTGGTCTTTTGCTTCTTTCTCCATATATGCCACATATTACTCTGTTCATTTTTATGATGTAATTTTCTTATATGTTGTCAGACTAAAGTATTATATTCTATATTCGTAATATATATTTCTCCACCTCAAATCTTTCTTAAAATATTTATGAATGTAGTTTTCATTTTTTTTATTATACACGTTTCCGATTTTTGAATTAATGACATTTGATTTTAAAATTTATTAGATGATTATTTTATTATTATTTAGCTTCTTACGATGATGCGAGGAAAAGATTAGTAAATGCAGAATTTACGTCTACCCTCGAAACTGATGTAGAACTGCATGAAAACCAACGGTCAAAAAGAAATATAAAAAAAACTTTTCGACTTAATTCGAATTCTTTAGATTCTGATACAGATGAAAAAATATCATGCAATAAGAATAAAATCTCATCTCCACCTATGTTAGTAACACCAACAAAGAATAGTAATGTTTTACCGAGAAGATCTTTAATTACTTCCAAACCATCAACATCGACAGCCGACAGTTCTCCAAGGTTTTCAGAAAAAGCAGTTAATCCTTCGCAAAATACATTAAGAACTACATTGACCAGTTCACAATTTGACAAATCAGGTAAGATATTAATATAACTTCTCTGTACATACAAAACTATTGCAGTAATATTAGCAATTATTTATAAAAAACATATAACTTGGAGATAGCTTTGCTCTTGAGATACACTGCACAGAAAAATATCCTAAACAATCTGCACTTTGATCCATTTAAAGTCGCTTTTTTGAGCAATTTTGCTTTAATTAATTAATTACCTATTTTTAATATTAGTTTATTATTTATACGCTGGTTTCCATACTTGCGTAGTCCAGCACTTACTATTCAACTTTTCCATATTTCATTATTTCTGTGTTAAGAGAGAGAAAGAAAGAGCAGTGTTAAAAAATAAATTTATTTTTTTTAACTCTAATATAAAATGTTATTTTTAGATTTTTCTTGCCTTATTCTAACAAAATTAGCAAGTTTAGAAAATTCTATGAATTTGCTTTTTCCGATGGTTAAACAACTTGTAGCACATTTTCGACTATCAACAATACCACATATAGAAAGTACTCCCGAAATGCCAGTTGACACTAAAGAAAAACTCGAAAATGTTGAAAGATTTTTAAATACAAAACAAAATTTTGAATATATGGTAAGTAAAAATATTCTTAATTTTTAACAATCTGCCATTTTTTATTTAAAAAATGACATTGATTATAAAATTTTAAAAATAATATTTAAATACACATATATTTTATATAGTTTATATGTATGAATATTTCACATACACACATGGAAAGAGAGAAACTTTGTATATTATTTGTAATACACACTGAAAGTACAATAAAATGCTGCAATAAAAACGTTCAACGTATATACGCTTTTTTTCAAATCAAAACATTCTTCCTAAAAAAATTGAAACTTAAAAAAATTAAAAATAAAAGCGTTATACTTATTATTAAAAAAGAAAAAAGCAGCAACCATTACAAATTTAATAAAAAGACTTATTTTCAAATAAAAAGATTTATTTTTAAATAAAGAAAAGTATGAATATTATTCAAAATATTTTAAATTTGATTTTAGATTAGAGAAAAAGATTGATTTCTTCAGATTTTGTTTAATATAACTCTCTAAATTCTTATTATACATTTTTGCATTCTATTTATTTTCCTTTTTTTTTAGTCTACATTTTTTAATTAAATTAATACATTATTGTTATTCTTTTTAAGGTGAATACCTTAGTTATATCAGGCGGTAAAACGATTGCACAGATAACAAGAAGAACATTGGAAAGAGTAATAACAAATAATTACGCTAAGAACTTTAATTGGGCAGGAAGACCGCCTAAAAAAGCCTTCAAGATTTTAAAAATAAAAGATTTGATTATAGGTTTGTCTTTTTTCTTTCTTTTTTGAAGTCAGTCAGCATTAATAATATTTAGCAAGTGTGTTTAATTATTACATATGCATGTATATTATTCTATAGCTACAGTACAGTACGTACATGCAGCTATTGTAAAGCTGTATTCAATAATTATATATATATATATATATATATATAATATATATATATAAATTTTTTACAGCCACTGTAAAGAGCGTTGAACCAAATGCTGCAGTAAACAAAATTGAAAATTCTATTAAAGATTGGTTAAAGCTGTCATCTGTTCGTATTGCCTTAGCCGAAGCTAGGGCATTAAAGAACCTCCAGCGACAATAGTAATTATAAGGATTAAGATTAGGTTTATATAAAAACATAAGTACAAAGAAAACATAAGTATAAGAAGAATTTTTTTATTTACGAAAAAAATTTAATGTTAATTTTTTTTAATTTTATTTGTGTTTCAATTTTTAAAATTTATTTTTTTTAGAATAATGTTGTTTAAAATGTTGTTTTATTTAGTATAATGTTTTTTAAAAATTTAATGTCATAAAAGTTATTACATAATTATTGTAAGAGTATTTGATATCTTATTGTAACAAACAAAAAAATATTAACTTTGCATTTATATAAATACGTATATTATTTTTACGGATAAAAGAAAAAAACATTTTTCCCTTTATTTGCAAAAAAAATGTGCTTTTCTCACAGAATTAATAAAATAATACATTCATACATATGTATATGTGTACCCAGACAGCACAAATGTTTTACAGATGTTTTTATGACATTTGTGCTACCTGGGTACACATATACATATGTATGAATGCATTATTTTATTAATTCCGTAAAAAAAAGTACATTTTTTTGTCGGAAAAATAACGTTTTTTGATCGTTTCTTAAACGTTTTTTTTTTATTGTTTCTTAAACGTTTTTTTGATTGTTTCTTAAACGTTTTTTTGATCGTTTTTTAAAAGTTTTTTTGTCGGAACAATAACGTTTCTCTTAACGTATTTCGGATTGACATTTTGACCAATGAGAAACTTTTTTAGAACCGTTATGAAACGTTTTAAAGAAACATTTGTGAAACGTTTCTGAAACGAACATGTGCTACCTGGGTTATATGTTTAACAGCTTCATATGTTGATTTTAATATTTTCCCGACATGTTAGACATTTTTAAAGGTCAGATTCAGATTCAGCAGCTCAAAAACTACAAAAAAACATACCGTTTTTACTTGCCTCTCCGGGGGCCAAAATCGGCCTATTTTACCCATCCTCCTTTCGAAAAATACATTTTTGTAGGCAAAATGTAGTTTTTGACACTTGTCATGAATTTTTCGAGAAAAATTTTTTTATCAAACTGCAGAGTATTAAAAGTACATAATTTTAAGAACAAAACAGTGCGTTCTTTTCAGGCTTAGAACTGTAAAAATAAAAAATTGTTAAAAACGGCCGAAAGCAGATGAAAATACAAACTTCAAGCTTCAAAATGTGTTTCTAATTTTTTGTTTACAATAATGATGAGTTTCAGCGGTTTGAAAATTGAATTAGTAAATTGAATTGAATTGTATTAGTGTATTATGCGCGCATTAAAGTCATCGCGCATTCAGATACTATGCTGCGCTGCTCTTCTACGCGAGACTGTCACACATGATCTTATGATCTCTATTTTATTTCTGTACATTTTATATATTCTTTTCTGTTTTTCTTCCAGTTCTGTCTCTCTTCCTCTCTCTCCTTCCCCCTCTTCTCTCTCCCCTCTTTCCCTCTCTCTCTCTCTTGCTTCATTACTCAATCTAAACCTTACTACTCTCTGCCTACCTCTCTTTCAGACACCCTGGCTTTCTTTCTCTTTTTATTATTCTGTTACAAGTTTGTAATCGTGCTACTAAAAAAAGTAAAAGTTTAAAATAATGAGATAAACATAAGTAAGAAGATAATATTCAATTGTATGTACGTGCGTGTTGCGAAGCATTCATCTTAAAATCGATACGATTTTTCCATCGTTCTCAAGGTTGAATAATTAAGTAAGATTATATAGTTCTTTTAAATTCTTATAATAAATTATAACAACTGGTATACCTTGATCTTTACCAATCATTATTAAATCTAATTATATACTGCATTGTTAAATACGCTATTAAATACGACCGCCATATGTCTCATTATATGTATGAGATGCTACATAAAATTAATCTATATTCAATATTAATAAATAATAAAAAGTTTAACTCTTTATGGTAAATATTTTAAATGTATAAGAAAATATCTAAAATTTTAATAATTAGGTCAAAAACATATGTTAATAAATAAATAGTTTTAACAATATATTCTAATATTTTCTTGTTTTTAAAAGAACAAAATATCTCTCAAAAACAAAACAGTTTTCAAAAGAAAAAAATATTTAGAACAATTTTTGTTAAGTTTTCTTTATTAAGATATTATTTCTATCTGTGTTCTACAATTAATACAATTATCTACGATGAAATAAGCAAATACGATTTTTTGTAGTAACAAATGCGATCAGTATGATTAAAATCTTGACGCAGAATACTTAAAAAAAAATAAAACATTTGCATATGTTTACTTGAAACACAATATTATTTTCTTTTTTTTCTAATTATCGGATTACATATCTCTAATAAATACTTGCGATATTTTTGCAACAAAAACATAGTTTAAAACAATTATATCTGAAACAAATAACAAAAAAACGACATAATATTTTTATTTCTTAAAATATAAAATATAAAATGATTAAATTATATATTATATGATATTATTATAATATAATATAATTTTATTATTATTATTATTATTATTATTATTATTATTATTATTATTATTATGAAATTAATACAATCTGAGTTAAAGTATTCATATATATTTTCAAAAATAAAATGTTTGTCATGTTGCGCAACGCAACTTTTTTAAGGAAAAAGAAATTTATTATTTATTGTAACTTTATTTATTAAAAGGATTATTTATTAAAGAAAATTAAAGCGTGCGATTTTACCTAAGAACCTAAAATTTTGTGTTGAATAACATTTAAAACTTCAAAATGTGAACACTAAGCCGCCTGTAACTTTTAACGAAATTGTTATGTATCACTGCGTAGGTTTTTTGTATTTTTTGTATATTTTTTTGTTTTTTTTTTTGTTTTTTGTATCATGTAACTGCGCAATAATATAATGACATCGTTAAACGTTACAGAATAGGCCACTTAAATTGTAAAAAATATGTTTTCCCTAGTAAGAAAAAACCGTTAAAAACGTTTTGGATAGACTATAAAAATGATTTTCTTTGCAAATCATAGTCTATTAAACACATTTAATGCGTAATAATAAATTTTCATGGAAAATTTTTTCCTCTTGCTAATCACATATAACGATGATATCATCTTGTACAACACTTTATATCCGTGATTTTTTTCTTTACGTAACACTTATAAATAAGATGTACATCCTGTCGGCCACTCAGTGTTCTAAGCTATCGTAGAACTACGAACAATGGCACGGTTAAGTTATATTGTGGCAATCATCAGTATTGCACTGACGTACGTCGTCGCTCAAGAATTGTATACCGATAAATATGACGATGTCGATGTAATTCAGATTCTCGAGAACGAGAAATTACGAGACCAATATTATAAATGTTTTATGGAACAAGGACCATGCTTGACCGGAGATGCAAAGTTCCTTAGAGGTATGTCTATATATGGATTAATCCTTGAACGGTGAAGGTATTTAAAGGCTTATTTTAAAAAAGCAGAAATATGGATTAAACACGTTTTTTATTGATCTGTAACTATTGTATTTCGTATTATTACAAAAATTGTCACAAAATAATTATTTACATTATTTAAATTAATAATTATTTAAATTAATAATATTATGAAACAAGAAAACTATTGATCTTAAAACCGGATCTGGAGTGTTTCAGACACTCCACCTTTACCATTCGAGGGTTAAACACAATCTCATTTTTCTTATATATCTTTTCTTTTTCTTTCATGACAAACTTACTGATACTTGGAATCAATTTGTACTTAATTATGATGTTTAAATAATTATAATTTTTAAGTAATTAATTAACAATTAAAAATAAAAGATTTTTTTGATTAGCTTAAATCAGAGACAAAAATATGTGTCAAACAATGTGTAATATTCTTTAGTTAATTTTAAACAAGTTTTGAAAAATATGTAATTTAAAAAATTGTAACAATAGCTTCTATATTGAGTGTTTAATAAAAAAAATTATTCTAAATCTGTCATTAAAAAATAATACAAAACAAATTGGACATATACGTGTAGAAAATATGCAACTACTCATCAATTAAATATTTTTTTTATTCTACATAGATTTTTAGAAATATAATAAGAAATATAATTAATATACTTTTTAGAAATTAATTAATTAAAATTAGTTTTTAATTTTTTTTTTTTTTGTAAAAACTGCATTTTTATAGGAAATACTTTCCAAATACTCTTTCTTTCTAATAATCATATTATTTTTCATAAATTCTATACATTTGTTAATCAGGAGCAAGATCAATTATTATACTGTTTATTATAAATTAAAATCAATAAATGTTAACAAGTTTTCTTTTTTATTTTAGAGATTCTTAGCGAAGCTTTCCAAACCAAATGCAAAAAATGTACTGAGAAGCAAAAAGTTATGTTAGACCAAATAGTCGATTGGTATACAACAAATGCACCTGATGAATGGCGAACTATCGTTGAGAAAACTGTAGAGGATATGAAAAAAATGAACGCTAATAAATAATTGCTGACAACAAGTGCTAATGGAGAAACGACAAAGAATCACGAAAATTCACATTGGTATTGTAATGTTATGGTGTTGGAATAAAATGTAAAAGGGCAATAATTTCAATTTTCTGTAACCATCTTTAGTTCTTTAAGTGGTTTTTTAGCAAGGCCAGCTCTTGCTAAAATTTTAAACTTTTTTCTTCTTTGATGATATTTTATTATGTTGGCAATTTTGTGAACATAATTTAATCGTCAATTAAAATTAATCGATACTGGAAATAGTCACCTTAATTTGGCTAAATACATAGTTTCAAAGATTGTCAAACTGTGTCTGTGGCATTGCTTGTCTCTCTCCTCTTCCCAAGACCGTCTTAGTTTTTTAATTACCGTTTTAATTCTTTTAATATAAGTTATAATGTATATCTTAAACATATGTATAGGTATATATTATACTGATATTAAAAGAGCTGATATCATATTCTAATATAATTTAAATAATTATTATAAATGTTTTAATTATAACTTATAACTTTTTTATTCTTAATGTAATAACTGATATTTATTACTTTGATCTTTTGTTATTGATTTATCGCATAGGACGTAATTAAATGTAACATATTATGATTATGCTATATTACGTAAAAATAATATACATTTTAAATAAGAAGTAATTAAAAAATGCACATTATTCTTAACTAAACGTTTTCAATGAGAGATAATATAAAAAATTTCAACGATTAAGTTTATGTATAATATAATTTAAAGTATTATCTTGAAGGAAATTGACAAAACTAATAAGCAATACTACATTTTTGTGAAATAAAGATCAAATTCATTGTGTCTCGTATAAGTTAAGAAAAATTAGATAAAAAAGATATAAAGATCTTAGATAAAAATGATTAAAATAATGCAATTTTTTATTTGGCAGTATTCTGAGATTTATGATAATTATTCTCATTGTACCTTTAGAAAAATTTACTTTTTAAAACTTAAAGAAAATAACTTAAGAAAACTTTTTGATTTACTATAGAACTTTTTAAAAGTTTTGAAGAGTAAATTTGAACATTTTAAAATAGGATTTACTCTTCAAAAACTTTTAAAAATTTCTTTAATAAATAAAAAAGTGTTCTTAAATTATTTTTTTAAAGTTTTATATAGTAAATTTTCCTAATATTAATATTAGTAAATACAAATGTGTAATACAGAAGTAATAAACGAGGAAAAAGAATTTGCAATTAATCGGCAGGTTAATGCAAAGATCAAAACTTAAAAAACTTTGAGGCCTTGAAGTTACTTTACACAAACTTTTACTTACTTTTACGCCAACTTTAAGTTACTAAACACTGCCATTAAGTTATTTCACATAAACTTTTAGATACTTTCCATGAACTTTATGTCTTCAATAACTAAAGAAACAAAAATTCAAGGATAAATTTTTAAAACTCTAAAACAACTTAAACTTAAAAAAAACTTAAAAATTTTTATAGTTACTTAAAAAACTTTTAAAATTTTTAAAGTTACTAAACAAAACTTTAATAAACTTTAGGCTAATTTAAAGTAAATTTTCCTAAAATGTTCCCTATAAAAAATTGTACTTATATAAAAATATATATAGGACAATACAAATATTATCTCTGGAATATGACTACAGATTAAAAACATTAATATTACAGATTTAGAATAAATAATGTAGTTTAGTATAATTAACGTCATTGTCGTTTTATAAAAGTACAATTTTTTATACGTTTATGTAAAAGTGATTTATGTTTTATAATATTCTTATTACAATTTATTATCGTATGACGACACACCTAAAAAAATAAAAAATAATAAATAAAAAGAAATAATTACGAGCATGTGTGCATTAATACTTTATTACGCAATATTGCCTCCGAGAAATCGATTATTTTTTATTATTCAATCATATATTTTTCCTTATAATTTTATCTCATAAATAATTAATGCAAAATAACTATGTTGACGATGACGTTAATTATTCTAAACTACATTACTTATTCTAAATCTGTAATATTGATGTTTTTAATCTGTAGTCATATTCCAGAGATAATATTTGTATTATCTATATATTGCATTATCTATATAAAAGAGATATGTTTGTTATGCGATATTTGTTTTTCACTAAAAAATTCACATTAATTAATGCCTACTTTAAATTATATAAAAATTAAAACTTTCTTTTGATTAAAATTTGTAATTGTAAAATATATTAAAAAATTTGTTATTAAAAATACATTTAAAAAACATTTAAACATTTAAAAAATTTTATTTATAGCATACTAAAAAAATTTTAAGTACCTATTTAAAAATATTTATAAATATTCGACTAATTATATAAAAATTATCTTCAAATTGAATGCATTATGTACAATCTGTGTATAATGCGCAACATTACGCGCGCGTGTGTGTGTGTGTGTGTGTGTTCAAGTAGATACATATATATTATTATCCATACACAAGTACCTTCTTCTTTACTGCAAATTAAGTTTTATATGTATTTATCTTCACGTTTATCTCAACATTTTTTTGCTTTGTGTAACGTCTATAAATAAGGAGCACCGTTTGTCAAGCATTTAGTTCGTATTAGAAATTATTGTGAAAACAGAAAAGATGGCTCGGCTAAGCTACATTGTAATGGTCATCAGTATTTCACTGATGTGTGTCTTTGCACAGGAGCAGTACGATAATAAATACGACGATATCGATGCAATGGTTATTCTCGAAGACTCTAAGCAGCGAAATGAATGGTACAATTGTTTTAAGAAAACGGGACCATGCTTGACACCAGAAGCAGCATTTTTTGGAGGTATATATACAGTATAAATACAGTTTTTAATAAATTTAGTTTTATTATTTTGTTATATTGTAACAAAATGTGTTATACTTTTCACACGTTTGCTAAACGAAGACAAAGAGATATTCGATACGAATTAAAGTTGATAAGTATCAAGCTTTTCTTTTCATTTCAGAAATTCTCCCTGAATCTTACCAGACTCAATGTCAAAAATGTACTGATAAGCAAAAACTATTGCTGGAAACAATAACCGAATGGTATACAAAAAATGAACCTGAAAATTGGCATTCTCTTGTTGCAAACATTGAAGTAGTTCACAACTAACGGTGGTCAATAAAAATGGTTGCTGATGCTGACAATAAATGCTTATGATCAATGGAAGAACGACTTGGAATCACGAAGTTATAATTATCCATAAAATTAAAATTTTATATCTAGAGATGTTTATATTTCTTTATTCAGAGAAAATGAAAAACTCGGTATTGCTTTGTACTAACACTTGCACTGTAGTATTATATTACTGGAATAAAATATAAGAATGTAATAATTCTAATTTTGTTTTATTTTGTTAATTATTTATATTTTCGCCCGAAAAATCCAAAAAAATTTAATTCCAATTATTATATTTTATATTCTGAATATAATCGCAATTGGTGTTTATGCATTAATCTTTTGCTATCAATTTTTCACACAATTAAATGCATCATTGTATGTTCGCAATATGTATTATATATAAATTTAATTTACATTTTCAACATTCATAAAAAATAAACACTAATTTCTCTCTCTCTCTCTCTCTCTCTCTCTCTCTCTCTCTCCCTCTCTTTTCTCTCTCTTTCAAATGAGAAAAAATATTGAAAACAATAATCAATTTTAGAAATTAATATTATCTAATAATAATTTCTTTCACTTTTTTATGACCGACAAAAATTTTTCGATTTTTAGAAGAATAATATTTAGAACAAAAATTTTTTTATTGAAATAATGATAAGATAAAGAGCCAAAAACCTATACTGGATGTTCGTGCTTATATAATTATTGAAAACAATCTAATCCAAACAAACCAGCATTTTGACTCTTTATTTTATTATTTTAATTTTAAGAGGCCTTAATATAAATTATTTTAAATTTTATTGAGTTTCTACTCTGTTTAATTTTTTTATTAATTTTTTAAAATTTTTTTATTAAAATTAATTAAAATTTTTATTAAAATTAATTTTAATGTAAGTATTTAAAAATCGACAATAAAATAGAGTTTTCAAACATTTGTATATGTTTTTTGAAGATGACATTATTCCTCAAAAAGTATCTTTCCGATAATTTATATTAAATATCTATATAAAGTATCTCTTCAACTCAGAGCATAATTTAAACTGATTATCTAAAACACGATTAACAAAGCAAGTTGTTAGATATAAGTATGAACTTATATAAGTCGTTCTTACAAGTCTTAGAAAACAGTTTTAGATAAAAACAGATGATAATACTTGGCATTATTACACATTAATATATTCAAATATTCTATTCAAAACGCACAATATTACTTCCAGGAAATCAATTATTCCTCGTCATAAAATCTCGATTCATTAATAATCAATGGTTAATAATAAAATGCTTGAAACTCATTAATAATTAAATGTTTGAAACCTCTATTTTACTGTCGATTTTTAGATTACTTATATTAAGATTAATTTTATTAATAAAAAGTTAAAATTACAAATAACGTTTTTAAGATATGCGTGTTGTCTGCGATGAAATACTTACCCAATCAGCAGACAATATTTTTAAAATACATTTTTAATATTTATTGTTCATTAATTGTAAATTTTTGAAAAACATTTTTAAAAACATTTTAAAAACATTAAAATCAAGGATTAAGTCCCCTTTTATTCATTTAAAAAATGTTTATTTTAATATTTCCTCTAAATTGCTATTTTAAACGAATATTTTATGTAAAATAAATAATTAATAAGCATTCTTTTCTCAGCCCGTTTCCGTCCACTTCTGAACGAAGGCCTCTTCCATCATTTTCCATGATTATCTACTGGTTGCTGCCCGCAACCAGTTCTTCCCTGCTGTCCTTCTGATGTCGTCACCTAAGGTGCGGTCTTCTAGCACTCCGAATAAACATTAATTATTACATATTAAAACAGCAATTTAGAGAAAATATTAAAATAAACATTTTTTTAATGAATAAAAGGGGACTTAACCAATGATTGCAATATTTTTAAAGTGTTTTTAAAAATATTTTTCAAAAATTTTTAAAAACATTTTTGAAAACATTCTCTGCCAGTTGGGTATTCGCAAGCGCTTCTTTCTTTACTAATCAAGTCAAAATTTTGCCTTGTATTTATAATGTATTGATGTTTTCGATCCATAAACAGATTAATTGCAAAAATATCCTTAATATTCTTTCTGTGCCTTTTATACTTAAACATAAAGAATAGTTTTGTTGGATTCCTCTCACTAATATTTTGCATTAAAAGCATCTCACATCAGTTTTAGATACATATTATAGCATGCCATAGAAATACCAAAAATGCTTCAATTAAATCTACTAAAAGACTATTGTTGATAATAATGACGACTGAACGATTTATTACTATTAACTATTACGTTTTCTTAGATTTTATATATTATACAACTCGCATGTGTTTGGACATCTAAAAAATATATAAAAGACGCGTGTAGAGTTTTTTAAGATATGCATCTTGTCTTGGGTGAGATACTTATTCGCAAACATCTCCTTCATTAATATTCAACTCAAGTTTTTCTTCTTATTTTTCTCATTTTCTTGACTTGGGTATAAATAAGATGTACGAGCCAGCAGTCATTCAGTATCTATATTACAAGTTATTATAAAAGTAGAAATAATGGTTCGACTAAGGAGTATTGTGGCAATTATTATTTTTGCATTAATATGTGTTTTTGCAGAAGATGGTTACGATACCAAATATGACGATATCGATGTAAATGGTATTCTCGAGAACAATAAATTACGAGAACAATATTATAAATGTTTTATGGACCAAGCACCATGCATGACAGCGGATTCGAAGTTCTTTAAAGGTATGTATATATAGATTTACAGTACCGTTCAAAAATTCGAAATCACTTTTCGAATTTTTGATCGGGATAAAAAGTTAGATATCTCAGCCAAAAAAAAAGGCGTAAACGAGTGATCCAGGTAGCATTTGAAAGTAGAAAAAACCAGGTTTATTATACATTTTTCAAAATTCTTTACAATTTTTTTTACATTTACTAGGTGATGTTGAACATGGGTATTTTTTGCAATTTTCATACTTTCATAAAGTTGCATGTAATTTTTTGAGAAATAGCAATAGAAATTTCTTCTCAGTGGGTCTCGAAAGGAGTGAGATTAAGCTTCAACTTGTTTTCTTGCAATTTTGTTTTCGATTTTTTTTCGCAAAGTTATTCAACTTTTTGTACAGTAGTTCAGTTTTTGGAAAACTCGAGAACTATAGGGTTTAAAATAAAATGTCAAGAGAGGAAAAAATTGTATTTTTGTATTTTGAACACGTTAAAATTTTTTTGGAATTTTTTTTAGAAATTTTTTAGAAAATTTTTTTATGACCATTTTCTGGTCGAAAATTCACTAGTTGTCTTATCAATTTTACTGCTTAACGGGCTACTGGAAATTAAATTAAAATTAAAAGAATTAAAAAAGTCACAAGTGCTAAAACGGACAATGTTTTGAATTTAAACAGAGTTCTGGAGCAGCGAGTGCCAATATCTTCTGGCATAGGTATGAGTTTTCTCAAAGTACGGTATTAATATATTGAACAAAAATTCAAAACATTGTCTTAGCACTTGTAACCTTTTTATGTGCAAAAACACCCATGTTCAACATCATCTAGTAAGTGCAAAAAAAGTTGTACAAAATTTTGAAAAAATGCATAATGAATCTGGTTCTTTCTATTTTCAAATGCCACCTGGATCATTCGTTTATGCCTTTTTTTGGCTGAGATATCTAACTTTTTATCCCGATCAAAAATTTGAAAAGTGATCCCGAATTTTTTAACGATACTGTATATATATTAACACTTACATATTTATATACTTAACACTTTTTTCTGTCACTGAATTTTTCTGTTTCTTCTCTTTTTCTTTTCTTTTTTCCAACAAAATTTTTTGATCAATTTGGAATTTTTTTTCTTTAGTAGTAATCTCAGAGTATTTATAAATTTTCATTTTCAAAAATAAAACATATTTTTTGACAAATTATTGAGACTTTTCTCTGGTTTCAGAAATTGTTGGAGAAGCTTATCATACTAATTGTAAAAAATGTAACGAAAGGCAAAATATTATGCTGGACACAATGGTTAAGTGGTATAAACAAAATCAGCCCGATAAATTTAAGGCTTTCGAAGAAAAGACTGGAAGGGAGTTTCAAAAGAAAGCTTAATAATTATTGACATATGTTGACGACGCTAATGTCGACCAAGGACCGATTGAATTACCGACCATTGAATTATGAAACAATATCATTTTATACATTATTATATCTTTAATATTCAAGGATTTCTCTCTACTTATTGTTAGAGAAGAGGACAATTCAATAAATTAATACTTGTATTGCAATAGCATATTAAAAATCTAAATAAAAATCTATGAAGCAATACATAAAATCTATTCAATTGCCTAAAATAGAAGTATATATCATACTTTTAGAGGAAAAATGTTTAATTTGTTATACGAATAAATCTACACAATAAATAACACTTTATTCAATATTGATATAATATTTATATTTGACACACATGCTATGTTACATTATTTTTTCTTTTTCAATGACTTGATCCATTCGAATTGCAATTCACGTAACATCTGTGGCGTTAAGAGCCCTTCTGCTATTAATCTTTCAGTCAATTTACCTTTATTTGTGTCACGTTTGCCAGTTGTTTGATAATCTGAAAAATATGTCACGTTAATTAATACCCAAACATTATTAAGCGTATAAATTATTTTTTTGTGCGTGATAAGAAATTACCTCTATAAAAGTTTTGTTTTTGTGTCTGCAATTCAAAGCTATCAGTTTCTCCACCTAAATAATGAAAAAGAAATTGTACATTAATATTTCACAACAAATATAAAACTTAATTTTCATAAGAGTTGAAATCAATATGATGTGACGCATAAAAATGAATAAAATGTACATTTTAATATTCTAAACTATTTCTTTGTTTAAAATATAAGATTTCAATGTAATGCGTTACAGTTAAGAATAATACTTACCTGCGTCTGAGTTTAATAGTAAAGCTACTAATCTAAGTATTCCTGCTTCGATAAGCGCATCCAGTTCCTTCTGCACGTCGCGGACCACTTTAGCATCCGAAAATAAATCCGCAAAACGATAACTACAAAATATACGATAATAAATACATAAAAATGTGAAGGCGAAAATATAATTAAATCTTATTGTACCTGAGCCATAAATAAAGATCCAACACATCAAACACGGCTTCCAGATGAACGAGATCAAGAATAGTCTTTGGTGTCTTGAAAGGCCAACCAATGTGTTGGCACAACCAATTGAATGTTATTGCATCATTTTTACTGTATTGGCGTGCAAACTAAAAATAGAAATACGCATATAATATCGCAATATAATAATAATACCATATAGCAAATGTAATATCTAAACGTAAAAATAAAATATTATATATAAAATACATAATAAAAATAAAAATAAAATAAAAATCTTATATTTTGAAAATAAAACCAATTTTAGATTAATGTGAGAATTCTTATAATAGTATTTTATTCTGATTTTAAGTGTTATTATATATAGAGAAACAGAGCAAAAATAAAACACCTACCTTCAAGAACATAGTGCACACATATGGTGATTTCCTATTAATTGGCGCACAACAAAATACATATCTTGCACGGAGTGGCAACGGAACGTGCTGTATCATGTCGGCGAAAAATTTAAAGTCGTCTAAGTTACATATGAAGTAAAGAGAATCGTCAAATTTGCACAATGACACAAAAATATTCTAAAATGGATAAAGCATTATAAGTTTTATAAAGTATATAGTTATTTACAATTGACTGTAATTAATTTTCTTGTTGTTTTTACAAAACTCACCATAAGATTCGACAATGGTGAATTTGGTAAATGATAAGCATACAGTTCAATTTGATCTGGTGTCGGATGAAGACCAGCTTGTGTTATTATTTCTGGTGCCTGACTTAACAAATGTTTTAAAGTCGGTAGATCCTCCCGTTTATATGTTGTTACATAGCCCTACGTTAAATGTAAAAATGTATTTTAACATATTCGTTTTATATTTTCTCTTCTATTATACTATTGTGCAATAAAATTTAATAAAAATAAGCATTGCATACCGTTTCCCAAGCTGAGCCGTAACGTCCAGCGCGGCCTGCTATTTGCAGAGCCGCCGAAACGGTTAAAATCTCCATTTCTTTTTCACCTTTTTCGTTGATCGTTGGCTGAATCAACGAATAAAATATAATTCTACGAATGTGCCTACAAAAATATGTGACTTATTTAAAACAATCGTTTGTAATAATGTGCATTTGTATTGCTTAAAATTGTAAATTTGACGTATTAGTATAGACATATGTTTAACGCGCATAGACATTCATAGAACTTACAAATTCAGACCCATTCCAATCGCATTAGTCGCCACCATAACTTTACAAGAATTGTTAGGATCATTAAATTTTGCAGCTTGTGCCAACTTGGTGCCTGGTGGCAAACTGCCATATATCACTGCCACCTCTTTTCCCCTACTCTCAAGGGAGCGCGATACGGTAAATATATCATTTTTATTAAAACAGACTATGCAATCTCCCGGTTTAACATTGTTCAAAGAACCGAGCGCTTCATTTTCTATTACAAGCTCTGTTAATCGCTTGTATCTGCGTACTTCCACACTTTCGCCCATCGTAATGCATATAGATTCTACCTGTGTGCAACCATGTAATTTTTTATTAGTAAAGATCAATTATTTGTATACGCAATGTAATCCAATATTCAATAATAATATATCTAAAATAAAGATGAAAACACACCAAATCTATAGCAGCAGCTTCACCGCATAAATGTATTTCGTCTGCGGGGATTCCAAGAAGAGCTCTCGTCCATGCCCAACCTCTTTGAATATCACGCACTAATTGAATTTCATCGATTACAGCTACCTCATCTGCAACAGTTCATGATCATATCAATACTACTTTCTCGCATATATAAATGCTAAAAGTAGCTAAGTACGAAACGATACATACAAGTGTTCTGTAGATTCGCCATTTCTACGGAACAAGATAAGTGATTTGCCGGATTATCAGGGTCCTTGGCGTATTTCCGTTCTTCCCCAGTTAATAAATCACATGGTGTTCCCTAATATTACAATATATTATTATGTATGGCAATTACGCTTAAAATAAATGATAAACAGTCGATACTAACCCTCTGGTTACATTTATGAAATACTTCTGCAACTAATAATTTCAATGGTGCACAATATACCCCACTTTTAGCATTAATGAATCTTTCTAAAGCATGATAAGTTTTTCCACTATTTGTTGGTCCAGCATGAAAGATTATTTTCCTATTTTTTGATCTTGCTATTGGATACCTGAAAAAATTAATGACAAAATTATCTATCGTTATTATCTATCAATAACCTTGTATGATAAAAATTTATTCTAAAATTTTAATTTATTTGTTTCACAAAAAGTCACTCTATATGTACAATATGTACTATGGTTTTCACATACTTCATATATGTGTGTGTATTAAATAAATTTAAATAAAACTGATCTAATAATAGTAATTATGGAAATCATGCTAACTTTAATATGATATAAATCAGTAATTTCTTACCAAGTAGCAGGATTTCGTAAATCACTAATCTTTTTGAGATCATCCAAGCAATCAATATGTGGAAACATTTGTTTAGCATGACGTATAAAATAAGGAAAAATATCACTGATATTTCCAGCACCTTGTAGAATATCACTGAGTACTATGTGAAGGTCCACTGGCAATGATTCTGCTTGCAAACAATATTGTCTAAAGTTTGTGAAAGCTTGTCCCTGAAGGTAGCCTAAAATTATTATTATAATCATAATCCTGATGAATGCATGTATTATCAAATGTACGTGTTGACATTTAATTCAGTACGCACTGTCTAATCCGTATTCCTGTGCTAGTTCCTTGATTTCTGATTTCTGTGTGAAAGAATTTAATATTTTTAAAAGGTCTCTCTTGTTTATCACAGACCCAGTCAATTCAGCGCCAATGTTTATATCATCTGGATTTGGTTTGATAGGCACAGGATGGAACAAAGATTCTGGCAAATTTGAATTACTGTCATTTTTCTTGCCTCTACATGGTTGAATATTCGTGAAACTCGTGCCAAAAATTGTGGATCTATATTACAACAGAAGAATAAATTATGAATTAAAGTAACAATATTTTCAATATAGATTATTGCATGATATAATTTACTATTTAAATAATTTAAAGACGAGAAATAAGATAAGAAGATAAGAAGGAAAAATAGATTAAAATTATAATCAATCCAAATATATATTAATATATACATTGTACCTGCATACAGACGCCAATAAGGTACTTCTTTGCATTAGCTGTTTTGATATGTTACGCTTTATAAGTATCATTTTTTAGTATAAGTAATTTTACTATGCAAAGACCATAGGAAATAGGAATACAACATGCACTCCACATGTCTCTCAAAGCCCCTGAGAGGTTATATTATGATTCTATGATTAGTGCTGTGGTGTTGGTATATAATTTTTCGCATATGCGCAGTAAGAAATGCAGTTATGAAAGATTTACACTGCATTTGGTGTAAAAAATGCTGATATCTAATAGAAAAATGTATTTTCTAACAAATTGAATATTATCTTATATATTTTTTTTAGGTAAGAAATACATTAAACGTAAAGTATATTAAAATAAAAAAATTTATTTTTCTTTATTTAATGCATTTTTCCAAAATTATTCAATTCTTAAAATACTTCTATTTTTTTATTGCTCTAATTATGCAATAGAAATTTACATTATAAATATACAAATAAAATTATATATAAATAAATACAAATTATCGTCAATATAACTTATACCTAATAAAAGGGTAATAAAAAAGATGTTTAAGAAACAAAGAAAAAGTTTATTTCATTTATTTCTTTGTCATTGCAGGAAACAATAAAGAATATTTCACAGAGGTTAATTTTTTGATAAACAAACATAAATTTACTATACGAAGGATGGGCTGCATGCGTTGACAACGTAATGTGTAAATAATGTTAATGTCATAAACATATATAATTTAATCATAATGAAAGATATTTTTATTTGTTTTTAAAAAGGAAGATTTATTTTTATATATAAATATATATGTTTACACACAGTTCATACATCTCATAAATTTCACAAGTTAAAATGTATTACACAAGATGATGTTCCAACAAGATCAAAAATTCAACAACATCTTGGCACTTCATTGGCACAGATTATCTTCGATTACAGTCATCATGAAGCTATAAAATTGTTAGACTCGATACCTTCTGAAAGATTTTTACAACAATCATATTGCACAGCAGATGATCAATTAAAAACAGATGCAACTCGAACATGGTTGGAAAAACAAGAAATTCTCAAGTCTCAAATGCATCATAATATTCTGGGTAATATTAGTATGTACATCAAATGCTAGGCATTGTACTTATTAATGTTTTCTGAATTTTTGACCCAGCATTGGGCAAAGACAAATTGAAGAAGTTTCAGACAGAAATTGAAGCAGTGACACAAACTAAATTAAGAGACAAATTTGCAGAGAAGTGTCACATTTTTGAAGCTGAAAAGAGACTTGCTATCAAACACAATGCAAATAAAATTCATGCCAAATATGAAGAGTATTTAAAATCTGTTCAGCAAGAGTTAGAGGAGAAGCTGCAAGTAAATATCAGTTAATTTTTTATTTACATAAACAATCAATACTGTGAAGCAGAAAATAACATCTTCTACACATACAATGAGTGACTACTTTAAAACTGCAATAGATTGAACGGGAAAATGAAAATGCTAAACACAATAAGGAATTGCAAAAAGCCATTGTAAAAACGCAAATAGAAACAACGCACGATGTGGTAAGAAGGATACGACCTCAGATGCATTACATCGTTACATCTCTCTACAATGATCTTGAGGAATCTTGTCGAGCACAGAAAGAAAAAATGATTGCTGATTTTAATAAAATTATGAGGTATCCAGTACTGTAAATTATCTCAGAAAGCAATTTTAAAAGTTCTCAATGTGTAATAATATCAATAAATGTAAAATATTAAAATTGACATTTTTATTTATAAAGGGAACAGTATCTTAAACTAGATGCAAGAATTAAGCAAGTTGAGAGAAAGAAAATGGAAGAACTACATGTGCAACGTAATGAATTTGAGATACAAAATGCAATGAGTATTATTTACATTCTTTGTATGGAGAGATTACGTACCAATTCACAAATGAATGTGATACACAAACATTTTGAGGTAAACATATACATCTAAATTATGCTTTGTACAATTTATACACTTGATAACACTGTAATGTCATTAAATATTTAAATTATAACCCCGTACAGGAAAAGACTATATTCTTGCACAAACTTATTGCTAAACAAGATGAAATTATAAATATCATGAAGAAAAGGATTACAGAATATCATAACAAAAATATAATGCTCCAAGAAAAAGTCACCACTATCACAAAGGAATTCCAAAAATTTATTAATTTTGCATTTGACGCTGTACCAGAGCATGCTGATTTTTTATTGCCATTAAATTTGTTTTCTGCAGGTGAAGAGGACTGTGATAAATTAGAATAGAAAAATTTAATGACGCTTATAAAAAAATTAATTTTCTAAATAAAAATATACAATCTCGTATAAAAAATAGTATATTTTTTACAAAAATTGTAGTCACATAATATGAGAATCAATCTATTTACACAAAATGTAATATCAAAATATTGCACTATAATAGTAAGATTATTTCTAATTTTGTACAACGTTAGATTAATATGTCAACAATTCATTGAAATTTCTAGCATTCTTTGTTTGACAACCAAAATACCATTCTGGATCTCGTTGCAGATTATATACTTTACGCTGATAAAATTGTGCTAACATAACGGATTTCATACCTACTTCACTAGGTGGTGGAGGGGAATAATCACCAAGACGCCATCCGTATATCCAATTCGTACAATTGGGGAAATAGAAACGCTTCTCCGGTAGTATTTTATATCTAAAAAGTTGTAAGAGACAATTTTATAATAATTATTAAAATTTTTTTTTAGAGATTTATGCGCCATACGTAAATTATGCGTTACCTTTCAGTTAGGTAATTATCAGTAGCGATAAAAGTGGGAATTTTTTTCTCATAAAGCATGATTCTTACATCAGGATCGACTGGCTTCATGATATTTATATCGATTGACCCATCAGATCTAGGCGGCCTCCAAAGGGGTAAAGGCTTCTGTTGTATCTACGTATGTACAAAATTTTAAAGAAGTAAATTTATGAGATTTATTCTTAGTTTCAGCAGATAAAAATTCTTATGCATAAGATCGTACAATGGGTTTATCAATGCGAGTTTTCTCTCGTTTCTCCTCAATTACTTCTTTGGCTCGTTTAACAAGCTTTGGTTCTTTCAAATGAGCCCACCAATCGTTGTTGATTGATTAAAAACCATTTCATCCGTAATGCATTTTCTTTTTTTATCCTTTCATTATGAATCAAATGGCAACGAGCATCGCATACATCACCAATTTTCGGCATATTTTACTCTTGCAATTTATATATTTTTATAAAGAAAATAATTACAAATAATTTAAATATTTAATTGTCAAAAAGATTTTAATGTGTGAAAATAGATCTGAAGTAAAATTTCGAGATATTATTGTTCTCAATTGTTTTTTCTTCTCACATACTTATAAAAAGATGAAAGATAAGGTGTAATGAATGAAACATAATTGTACATCATAATACTTTATAGAATGATTTATTTACATTATTTTTCGTATAATGCATTTTACTGTATTACATAAATTCAATATGTACTTAATATATATGTCTACATTACTTATATGTTTTATAATAATGCCAGTGGGAGCATATATGTGACTATATACAACTTGTTTTTCCGAAAAAAAAAACGCTAATTTATGAAAAGAAAGCCAAAAATATAAAACTGATTAATTTCTTTTAATAACATGTAGCCATGAATTAATCGCGTACATAATAAGTTTCATAAAAAGAAATTGGAAAACACTATATTATGTACAGTATTAGTATTCTGCAACGTAAAAATAAGCATTGAGAAATAAGCATTATTTGAGACTGAAATGAAGATAATTTCAAAAAAGTGTTTAAGACAAAGATTAGAAGAGAGGTTATAATAAAAGAGGTAAACAAAGAATTTGATTAGGGATCATTAAAGTATATTCAATAGAGAATGTATTACAATCTGATAATTACATAGTTAAATTAGTATGTAAAATAAGTGCACACGTGCATGAATGGTTTGAATAAAAAATCAACTGCACATTTGCAAAACAAAAAAATAAAATTGTTCAATTTGTTGCAACTTAAATATTCGTTTTGTAAAGTTGCTTTTAATTAGACGCCGTTCATTTTTATGTATATGTATTTATATATGAATACTGTGCTCCAACAACATCAAACGATTTATCTAATAACGATGTATGATATTACAAAATTGTAACAATAAATAAATATGGCGTGAAATATGAGTTTTATATGATATTACTCCCTCTTAAAGTCAACATCAAATGACCCAGTAATCACAGCCATAGGAAGCAATATTGTGGTATATATCATATATGATTTAGTTACATAGTTCATTTATATTACAAAGTGACTAAGGAGCATTTTATCATTTGTACTTGAGTAATCAAGAGGAATCGTACTTGTACAAATAATAGTTATATTTCTTCTACATTGGTTTTTCCTTCTTTTTCTTTTTATACTGTACATATGTAATATTAAATTTATCTACAGTCTTCTATAAAATAATTACTTCACGCTGTTCGTAATTTCTCTAAATTTTAAAATAACCAATCGTGCTCTACATTAATTCAATTCCCTCCAATTCATATTTATATCTACAGTCTGAACACAAAGTTATGCTTTGCTGTATTCCAATTACGTCGTATTTTCTATATCAATTTGAGTTTTCATGAAACTGTTTTCACAAATTTTTAATGTTGAATACCGAATGATTTATAACATCCAGTTAATAATGATTATGTGAAGTGTCTAATTTTGTGAATTTATGTTTGCAAAATTGTCCAGCATTAATTGTAATTATGCGCACTTTATTATGCTTGAAAATGTAGTTTATTATCGGTGAAATTCCAGCATGCATCCCACTGTTTTTTTAACTTACCTAATGTACAATGTTGGAGTGAGCTGCAATTTAATTGCGCTATGTGCGTGATCTATTTTCACTATTCAAGTGGAGCATATCTTTTCTTCTTTTTTAAAAACATTTGATTTTGCTGCTGGAGAATACTACTAAGTAGTATAACAATCTCCATGTCATATTTTCAATGAGAACTTATTATATTTACTAAACGAGCATATAGGTTTCTACAATCTTTTAGATAATAAATATTCCAATTCGTTCAATTTAACTGGATAAACATTAAACAGATTAATAACAAAGTGTTCGTTATATTTGTATAAATATGTACAAATCAAATCGTAAAGAGCGCGTAAAACTTGGCAATATGTTTTTTCTTTTATAAACATTGGCAACATGTAGTTGTAGTAGAAGATAAATAATAAAGATTTTTTTACACTTACATTAACAAATATCAAATTGTAAATGTCATTAATACTCCATATGAACAGTACAATAGATAACAGCATTTCGTTTTCAGTTGTGCATTCACAGATAGAATAGTTAAAACATTTTTTTTTCGAATACTTATCGAAGAAAAAAATGGCTACATTCTGTTCGTGAATGTGCATACAGTGATATATGAGCGTGGAGAAAAAGAATGCAACATTTCAAAATAAAATTTGCAAGAGTTATTTTAAGATTTTTATCTTACAATGCTGCAATTTTATCTCTCTCCACGCATACTAGAATCCATGAATGAATATTTCATGATTTTTAATTTAGTATTGCTACTAATTGATAAAAGCATTTCGCGGTTATTCCATAGCAATATAGTTATTTTCAATCAATTTCAAAAATGTAAAATAATATAAAGAGCAATGAAACAACAATTTCCTTTGTACTTACAATTTTGCTTATTCTAATTAGTTTCGTTTGATAATTAGGAATCCAGAAGTAAAATAAAGATATAACATTATTAACGTTTCGTAATTTTGTTATATGAAGTAGTTTTGTGCTAACAATTATTCAAAAAGTATTGATATATCAATTCAACAAGCTCGTGTTCTGTATTTATGCTCAATATTGTCTTTCTTTAGTATCGACTTTTGTTTTTTCGCACACATAAAATACAGCTGTAATAATAGAGAATCAATGAAACATCATTCATTGATTGATAAATTTATTATAAAGAAAGAAAAAGAGACCGATATTTCTATAAGAAACTCTTACACATAACGAAACAGCGCACTCTCTTTCTCTTTTTCTTTCTTTTTCTCTCTCTTTCTCACGCTTTCTCTCTCTCTCTCTTTCGTAATGAATAATCGCGATTAATGCGATTTCTCGCAGATCTAGCTTGTAGTCACTTTAAGTAATACAGGTGATGAAGCATGATTATTAAAATACAGACCTGCGCCCTGAAAACTATTGGATCTCGGTGCGAGCGTCGAATTCTGATTAATTCCAGTCGCACTGCCATCAGCCTCGCAGTCACCGTACTCGTCATCTTGTTTGCCGCGTAACACATATTTAAATGACTCATATCTGCAAATTAAAAACACATTAAAGCGATACGTAAAAAGGTCATCATAAGGTAATAAAAGAACTGAATAACGCAATTAAAAAAAAACGAAAAGAAATAGAATAATAAAAGGATATCAGAAGAAAATCACTTACATCACCCAACAAATGGCAGTGGCTGGTGCTTGGAATAAAACACGTGCGCGTAATCCACGGAAATATCCTTGCACACCGCCATGCCTGTAGACTTGTTTAAATGCATCTACCATGCCTTGAGCGTGCACGCCATCCTGTTGCGTGTTTAGCACTGTCTTGCAAACATCCAAAGGGGTTGTCGCTGCAGCCGCAATCGCTCCTGCTGCTGCACCTATTATGTGCGTACGTAAAATATTATATATAAATACCATTAAAACTTTATTCTCTCGTTAATGATATTTCAGAGTTAGCACATTGCGCATTCATTTTAGTCTTTGCAATGACATAGATATTCTTCTAATAATATTAAGAATAAACATAAGAAATTGGTATTATACATAAACAATTAACTCACCAGATCCGATATGTGCTATTGGATTATAACCGTGCTCCGGATTCGTAATGGATTGTGCAAATTCATAAGAAATGAAATGAATACTTTGAAAAGGCACATTCATGGCCAGTTGAGTGGTATAACTCCTGTAGAATGCAAATAACCCTTCTTTTTGGTACACATGTTGTATACAATTCAACACATTCCTATACGGAGAGTTGTACATTTGCAATCGCTGTTTAACCACTGTAACAAGATGACATTAATTAGATTTCATATTGTCTCTTTAAAATATCGACCTATTTAATTTCTAGATTTTCTCTAAATATAAGATTTCTTTTTAAATTTATATATCTTCTTTTTTTTTATAAAATTGGATTAATAAAAAAAAATTAAAAGTGTGTAACTTATATATCATGATTATAAAAATATATATCTTTATCTTAATCGATTAAATGATAATAACACACTTGTTGACTAACACACTTATATGGAAGTTATCTTTCATTTTTAATGATATATTATCAATCATTCACTTGATATGATTATAGCCAACCTTCTGCTGGATTCATTACACCATCGTGCAAAACTGTTGCTACGCATCCAGCAGCTCCGTAGACGAGATGATTGAATTGAGACCTCGAAGTCTTGAACTTTTCTTTAAGACATTCGTAACAAGAAAAGTATAAAGCATGCGCAGGTCCAGCTCCGGCAACCACTGCACTCACACCCCTAATTGGCCTTAATACACCTTCTTGTCGTATCATTCTGGACAATACTTCTCCTATTCCTCCTCCTCCGCCTGGGCCGGGAGTTAATGCTTGCATTCTTGTCTGGACATAAAAATTAAGACAATTAGTAATTGTAGAAATAATAAATAATTAAGTCTACTTTACACATTAAATATCTCATACTTCCATATTTTTCAATGCTATTTTTTGAAGTCATTGTTCTTCGTCAAGGCACTTTCAAATAGAATGACTTGCTGATAGTAAGAACAGTGACTATCAATTAACTACAAAAATACTAGTGTGATAATATTCAATTTTTACTTTGAATATATACAGAAATTTAAAAAACAGTGTAATGCATGTAAAATTTAAAATAAAAATAAAAAGTTGCACATGTAGAGGAGATTCAAATATCTGAAAAAAATTATAGCAATAAAGAAATGTCGTCAAAATTTATTTTTTTCTCGAATATTACTTTTCTTCACACAGTAATAAAATAAGTCTTTACATCATTAAGGCCCATTTGTGTAATGAATATTCTCAGAATCAAGGTCTAGTGTATTAGTTAGACAAGAAGATGTATATTAGTGGTACATAGTCTGAAAAGGAGACCAGAAATAGAACCTACTGCAATAGACCGACGAACTGTGTTACATAATGAATAGTAGACACTTGCATTCTAAGTATGAACCTTTCATACTTAGTGTATCTTTCATAATACACAATTCATCTTGTGTTATTAACTCCACCAGGTGGTACAAAGTAACTATTGTGTTATCATTGTATATGTTTCACGAATTTGTATAACATTCTACATTGTTACTAAATGAAGCATAACAGTATGAAACAGATTGAATAAATCTCTAAGTTTTATTAGCTTTGATTCTTAATAAACTTAAAACAGAATAATTTTTGTCAATTTATTATAATACTTATAGAAGCCTTACAAATAAAATTAACATTATCAATTTTATAAATATCTCAAAAAGTATATTAAAAGTATTTTTAAAAAATGATTTAAAAAATAAAAAGTGTTTTGGAAAATACAAACATGGTTATAAAATAAAAATATTGACCTCGCTTTAAATACATGTATGTGGCACAAGAAATGAATAAGTTAATGCACATGTTAATAGAATGACATATGCCAGATCTACTTTTATTGTGTAATTCTAGAATATAAAAAAAAAAACAACAAAAAACCTTCCATTCTTTCATTATACAGTTTTAGATTATGTTAAATTGATAAGACATGATTTATAATAGTTATAAACCATTATATTACATTTATAATAGTCATGGACTATACGTACGTAATTATAAATGTACATATTAACAACAAATATACATATTGTATGCACATCAATTCTATAATCTTTAATTATTCTGTATAATAGTGCAATTCAGTTTCCTTGAAATGGAAAAAAATGTTTACATAATGCCAAAGAACTCTGTGACAGCGTTATGCTTTCTGCAAACAATAATTTTACAAGACACAAGTGTTCTATATTTGCCGCACGTTTGTTAGCAGTAGATAAATTCTGGTGATAAAGCATTTGCGAAGTAGGCAATTCTAAGAAGGCAAGGAGGAAAATGTAGCGTCGCCAGATGGTGGTTTTTCCCCGGTGCTGATGAATAGAGCACCGCGAATTTTCCGAAACAAAACTCATAGAAATTTCACGAATAAATTCATGAAATTTCGCGAGAACGTTCAAGAGAACGAGAGCGTCAACATCGGGGTACCGCCGGTAACCGAGTAGGTTATGTAAAGGGTCGGGTAAAAAAATGTGCGCAACGCGCGACCATCTCCGATACCTTGACACTGTCAAACGGGTACATGATGCAATGTTCCATAATCCCGGCCAGGGCACCGGCGGTCATATGCACGGCCACGGAATTGGTTGGTAAACTCTCGTAATCGTCTTTATTCATGATCACGAAGACGAGTGCACTCGCTCGCGTTTCAGTCCGCTGTCACGGTGTCGCGCAATCTTCCTTCTCTCACTCTCGCTATCGTTCTCTCTCTCCCTGCCTCGTGTGCTGGCCGCCAACACGTTGCGTTGGCGATGCAACGTTTACCTTAAATATATTCGAATATTATCGAAATGACAGTGCTCTACGAGAACACTTCGCGTTGACGAACCGTGCGAGCGGATCGCGACGAGCACTCACGTTACACGCGAGCCAACATGTAATCACGCGCGTTGATCGTTTCTTAATGGAGCTACATCCGAGTCGTCGAGAAACTCGGTGGTCACCCGCCTCCCCCTGTCTTTGCGCACGAGTGATCCCCTCTTCTTTCCAACCCACACAATTCGTTTGCCTTCGTTGTGCGAATTATGCGTGCGAGATCGGTGCTGCGTGCAAATGCACTCGCGTTTGATCCGTCAAAATGCTGCAGAAAACGAAATTCGGAGTCGCAATCTCGCAAACAGGACGGCCGCAAGTCGTGACGGAAACGATACAAAACTAACGAGGTTAGGTTGAAACACACGTGCCGCGCATGCGTCGTGCACGACCACGTGGTCCGTCCGTGCATTGCAAGACAAGAGCGCTTTAAAACGCACGACGGATGTTTAAGTACACGGAATGCCGAGTGAGCATGCACTTCCTAACCAACGATGATGAGGATGAAATGACAATAATTTCCTGGATGAAAAGGATAGTGACGAGTCATCGGAAATATGTGCTACAGCAACTTTTCCTGCTTGATTTCAATATAACTTTGCGGTTGCTCTCCATTCTGCCTTTGATTAATTTATAATTTGCACAAGTGTGTTCACGTTTAATTTTTGTATTTAATTTACATGATATAATAATATTATGCATTTTATTTCTGGAAAGAGTAATATTAGAACAAAGCGATAGCGCTTGCTGTATTTGCATTTATATTATTGTAACTGTAAAATGATTAAATTAAATGAATGTAAATATAGATTTTTATATTTATAATAAAAAAAATGATTGGGCTTTTAAGTGAAAGAGAAAGCGAATGTAGAAAGGTATGTAGTCAAGCAGGCTTATATCATATAGCAAAAAAATTGAATTTCTGTGCAGCCTTTATAGAATATATGTCACAATCAGGCGCCGCGGAAGTATTTTTCATCTGAGGGAGCTAAATTTATAAAGGGGATACATAATACATTCATAATATATGTATGTAACTCCATTCAAACACCATATAATAGGCCACTCAGTGGGTAGTATAAATGTGCGAAAAATATGCACAGATTTTTTGCTCTAATTAACTTAATGCGTTTAATTTTCTTATATAGTGTACTTCAATTGAACGAGTAAATAATACAAAAAAAAAAAGGAAAAAGAAAAGAAAGAAGAAAAATAACTTATTTTTCCACCTTTGATGTAAATATTTGATGCTCAATATGTGCTATAGCAACTGTTTGGTCATGAAATACCTGAGGAAAACAAAAATTTGAATCGTCTCTGGATCGCCCCCTCTGCCCCCTTCCCGGTTTTGTGGCGCCTGGTCACAAACACGCATACGCGCGCTGTGATTATCTGAATGCATAAAAAAGCGAGATTCATTGTAAAAACTTTTTCGTTAACTCTAAAATTGTTCTCATTTTATGTAAAATGTGAGTTATCGTCGTTTAACGAAGTTTTGCATCATGTTGCGCCATAGCGATTGCTATAGTAAAACGCAGGAAATGCTTCTTCGCTAGCGTTAATTATATTTTATCAAGTGACGTAAATATCTTTTCTCTAAGCATGACGAATACATAGAATACGTACACGACGCAATGTGTGCTTTACATTTTTTTTTTATTTATTTAAAAAGTTACAACGCTCACGCAGATAATGGCTAGCGTTTTGCAAACGCATATATGGTAGAATTATACATCATGCGGATGATAAATCCTTGAGTCAGTTGATTTATTTGTGGAAAGCATGATTATACGTTTTGTAAGACGAGAAAGTATGCTTGCTGCGAATTTCCTTCTTCCTCGACAATTGTATTAAATTTCAATTGATTCACACGATGCATAAAAATCAGAAACGACACACGTATACATGTACATATATACATATCACATGACGGCGCGTATTATACTCTCAGCAAAGAAATAAGTTAAGTGGCAAGGTCGACCAACGTGTAGTGCAATTGTAAGCAGTATACTTCGGTCACAAAACATGCAGAAAATAAACAAGCATGAGTCGACAGAGAAGCTCGCGACGACATGCAATGCCGGCTATCGTTTATTATCTAATCGCTGTATCACTCTAAACGTCGTACATAGTTGCGATGACCTTGGTCGTCGATTGGGATCGGCGGCTGGAAGTTGAATCAATCAATGTCGCGCCTCCAAGATATTTGTAATTATTATAACGAGAAAAATACGAGATTTTACCGAATCTCTTTAATACACGCTTAAATAATTGTGATAATGTTGATGACATGGCAAAATATTCCGGAAACGATTATAACAGTGTTCCGAAAACGATTGAGAATTAACAATGATTACATAAACTTTGTATTGTACGCACAAGTACGTGTAAAAATGATAAAACTTATAACGTTATCAAACAGTTCATATTGTATGTAATAAAGTTAGAATTTCAAATTAAAAATTAATACACAATTGGAATTGTTACTTTGAAATGTAATTCTTTTGGAAACTTGTTTATAAGCGTATTGAACAATGAGTAGAGTAAATAATGAGTAAATTAATGCATACTGTTAGTTAACAAGTATATAAAATTCGTTTTATTTGAAAGCAATTTTAATGCTAAAAGACTTATAAACTTTAGTTTTATAAACTTACGCAGTTATAATAAATTAAAGATTAAAAAAAAATTATAATTTTATAATATTTTTATAACGAAATAAAATATATATCTTTTTGTATACATATTTGTACAGACTTATTGATATTACAAAATTACTGACAAAACCAAGAATGCATTTATTAAAGTGGCTCTAAAAATATGCGTGATGTAACATTACATAACTCGCACCATTATACTGCTTTCGCAATCACAGAAAAAAAACGCTTGTAATTATGGAAACTAATAGAAATAAACATAATTAAGTTATTTTTGTAAATATCTAAACAATGAAATAGTAAAAAATAACAAATAACAATGTAATATTCTAATTACATTTTGTTATTTTTTACTAAAAAAATGTAATATTCTAATTACATTTTATTTTTTAGTAAAAAATAACAAAATGTAATTAGAATATTACATTTTAATTGTTATTTTTTACTATTTCATTGTTCAAATATTTAAAAACATAATTATGTTTTAAAACAGTGATATAAACATAAAATGATAGGAAATATGAAATTTTATATATATACAGAATGCGGCGGAAAATACATATGGAAATACATTTGGATATAGGGTGATTCCTTGTTAAAAAATTTCTTGTTATATATATATAAAATATAAATTTTTTAATTAGTTCTTTCTAATCAGTTTTCCTTCTGAGATAAATCAAATCGTATCTTAAAATTTAAGATTTTGCACATGGCGCTTATTTAACATTTTTTTTATTTTATCGTTATGTATAATCCATATCTTGAGTTTTTAATCATATATATCGGCGTTCTGATTATAAGAATACTCCTATGAGATAAAAAAAATTAGACCACTTATAGCATAAAAGATAAGAACATATATGAAACTTATTTTCCAGAACTAATGATATAGCATGTAACGCTCATAAATAACAAGTTAATAATTACAATTGCAGTATTATATATGTATATGTGTGTATTGTATATATATATATATAATTTGTTATATGTATATATGTATATATATATAATTTGTTATATATATAATTCATATATTATATATTTTGTATATAATATATATAATATAATATATAATATATATAATACATAATATACACTGTTATACATTTTTAGTGAATCAATTTAAAGTGCTGCCTATAATGTCGAGAAAATATTTTATAAATATATAACTTTATAAGTTTATCATTCACATGAAGGTATGTATAATATGTAAGGATATCTATAAATAATTTTATTATTCCATAAAACGTTCAAAACTTCAAACATATGAGTATTTAATATATTATGAAACTAAAATAATTAAAGATATCGTACGCTGGCTTATTTTATTACTGTTTTATGGTAATGTAATAAAATATTTAATCAGATTATAAGAGCTAAATGTACAAGGAATCACCATATTATTATTATTATTATTATTAATATATATATCTTACTATACTTACTATACGAGATAAGAAAAAAATGTGTTTTAAAATTGTATGATTTATAAATTTATTCAACACCTGTACGAATTCATAGCATGGTACTAGCTATGTCTGGTTAGATCGTCTACTTCGACGAGAAGAACTTGAAAATAACAGACGTGGTTTATATAAATCATCGCTTGAGTATCGTTGGCTGCTTCTATTGCGGCTGCAATTTTAAGATATACTAAATTAGATATCAGGACAAATTTTCTGAAGTAATATTTGAACAAAAACATTCATAGTACTTTATGATAAGTTTAATTTATGCTGCTTAGAGAACTGGCACGAAATATACGAAATAAGCAACAAAGTAAAAGAAAGATACATGTATAAATCTATATTTCATAAAGATGTGAAAAACAGATAACATGTACCTCCTTTCCTCCTTGATCACGTTAGACGATGTTGTCTTCTCGCTTGTCGCAGATACATCGCTGTCTGGGCTCAATGGCATGACAAAATTTTCGCCATTCGAGATCCCCTGCGAACTGCATAAACTCGAGGATCTCGGTTTCTTGGTGAATTTTCTCCTCTTCACATTGTGTACGGCATCCTCATTGGGCGAGGATGACGATGTTCGCTTGTGACCGTCATTGTTATTATCCGAATTATTTTCCATGATGTCTGATAAGGGACTAGACGAACGTTTACGCGATTTCGGCAACGGTGGTGCTGCCATGGACTTCGGTACTGAAGAAACTATCTTGCCACCTAGACTTTCTATTATATCTTCCAACGACGAATTCTCCACCAGTTCTAGAGATTCTAAGAAATTAGAAAATTTTTCCGACTTCTCATTATCAGTTTTGAAATAACGACAATCTTCATTATCCTCGTTAATAATGAAGGATGAAGATCTGATTTCTATACAATCGTCGTGTGATCCTGCTGCGTCAGGTTTTAATGACGCACACATCTCTGCTTGTTTTTTAACTTGCGATTTGTCGTCTCGTATCTCTAACCGGTTATCGTTCCGCGCTTCTTCATTATTATCTTGAATTTCCACTTGATTGTAATTTCGCATTTCTGCATTCTTCTCCGTCGATTGTTCGGTATTATCAGGATCCATAAATTCTAATTTTTCTGGAACTGCAGCTTCTTCTCGCCCCTGTGACATATGCTTTTTCTCTGTTCGCGAACTATCCTTTTTTGTATCGACAATCGCATCTCTCTCGTTCTTAAAAATCTTCTTGAAATTATCCTTATGTCTTTCTTCCGATATTTGTGAATCCTCGGTATTTTCAATGTGCGATGTTGAAGAAGCATCGCTTGAAGAGATAAAAGATTGTTGATACGAATCATCGGACTGTGCGATTTTCTCGTCAATTTTTGAATTTTGCGTAGTCGTTTTCTCCGATGATACATTTGTCACTATTTCACTTAAGGATTGCTTTATACACAACTCCATATTGGATAACGTCGGCTTCAGATCAGAATGTCTGTTTAACAATTCGTTTGTACAAGGCTCAGCTCCTAACATTATTATAGATCTTTCGTCTAATCTTAAACTAAGCTCGTGCTTCTCGGGATAAGGTTCCTCGTACTCTTCATCAGGAATCTCTATGATTTGAACTCGTTCGTCATCCGGCACACCTTCGAGATTGTCGCCATCCCTTATTGTGCTCGACTGACTCGATTGCTCTATTTCCTGTGTATCATTCTTCTCCACTTTCTTATCCTCTTTAAGTCTCTGCTTTTCCATTTGTTTTCTAAGTTTTATTAGTTTCTTAGCTTCGTGTATATTCTTCGCAAACTTTGGCTTCTTAATCTTCACGTCGTCGGGAATTGATTCATCATCCTTGCTGGACAACAGTCTTTTCTTCAGAGGTAGACTTGTATCGCACGAATCTGCTTGCTCTTCTTTTTGTTTGACGTTAGTTTTATGCGTACTGTCTGCTTCCATTTTCGAACGATTCTTGTCCAAAACATTTGTCAACAGTTGCGAACTGCTTTTATGAGATAATTTACATTTTGAAGATTTTGAATCAGTCACTTGAGTTTCCTCGATACTATCTGATGTTTCGCTACCGGAATTAGTGATGTGATTCTCCTTCGTCAAACTCGATGTGCCTGATTTGTTGCTAATCATGTTGGAGTTAGAACTATTGGATGGTGAGGTCTTGCTGTTCGAGCCATTCGAGCCGTCTCGGTCAGTGGAACGCCGATCATTCGAGTTTTTCCGCAAACTTGAATGATCATCTTTCATCTTCGATTTTTTTCCTCCCTACGCTTTTTCTCTTTAGATGGACTATCGTTCTTCGAGTCTTTCCTATCCAATTTTTCGCCGCGATCCGAACTCTTACTTTGCTGCGGGTAATTTTTCGCATCCTTTTTACCGTTTGTCTTCTCGCCGCTTGCTTTAACATCTCTTTTGACATCTGCTTTTCCAACCTTATCTTCTTTCTCATTTTTGAAAATTTTCTTTGAATCCGACTTTTCTGATAAATCCGTTTTGCTGCTGTGACTTTTACTTTTACTATCTTTCGACAATCGTTTCTCGTCTCGTTTTGCTTTATCCTTTGAATCTGATCTTTTATCCTTTCCATCCGCAATTTTTTCTGACGTTTTGTTACTTTTGCTTTCGTGATGAGCTACAGGGAGATTTTTTGACGACGATGATGACGACGATGACGATGAACTCTTGTGGTCTTTCCTGTCTGATTTTTTGTCCTTTGGAGAATCCTTCCTCTCTTTAGTTTCTTTGATAAGTTTAATTTCTTTATCCTTATTCAATTTTTCTTTCTCTGTTAATTCTTTCTTCTCTCGTAGCTCTCTAATTTTTTCTTTATAGAGATCTTTCAGATCTTTTGCTTCTTTATTAATATTATCCTTCTTATCCCTGTTATCTTTCTTTTCCGTTTCCTTCTCATCCTTGAGTTTATTGAAATTATCTTTTAAGTTTTCTGAGAGATCTTTAGCTTTGTCAGAACTTTCTCTTATTGGATCAATTTTATCTTTAAGTTTATTCTTATTGTGTTTGTTATGCTTCATACTGCTGTGACTACTTGTTTTCTTCTTCTCGTTACTTCTATCTTTGTAATATTTTGTATCTTTGTTACTGATTTTTTCTTTTGTACTTTTTGATGACTTGATGGTTTCGCTATCTTTGTTTTTTTCTTTCGAGCTCTTATGCTCATACTTATCTTTTATTCCACTATCTGTAGCATCGCGAGAATTTTCTTTAAGAGATATTCCTTTAGTACTTTTAAAATCCTTCGAATCTTTATAATCTTGTGTGTCTTTACTTTTGGAAAAGTCAAAGCTGCTACTTTTACCTGTTTTAGTTTTAGATGAATCAAATTCCCTAATTGCTTTAAAATTGTCTTTATTATTTTTAGTTTCACATTTATCTTTTGTTGCTTCGTCTTTTGATGTATCATGCACTGGTGTTAAACCGTGATTAGAAGAACCAAAGTCTGTTACTATCGACAATCGAGAGTCTGAGGAAACTTTACTAAGCTGAGAATCTTGATTGCTACAATCAAAGTTGTCCCGCGATAATTCATTTGAAAAATCTGGGCTTCTAGATCTATGACTCGTCAATTCCGAGATTCCCGATAAATGTGAATCGTTGGAAATATTGGACTCATTTAAGTTCATAATATCAATTGGTTCAAATGTTGGACTAACCTCTTCTTCTTCTTCGTCCATTTTATCATCCGATCTTCCAGATATATTTAAATTCAAACTACTACCAGTCTTATTCAGAGTTTTACAGACTTCATCGGACATCTTTTCTTCTAAGAAAATATGTCCATTTTCTGAACCATCCTTATTTTTATCTTGATATACTTCCTCACCTGGTAATTTTTGTTCATCATAAGTTTTATCATTTTGTTTTTCATCAATATTATCATGCGCATCTATAGATTCAAGAGACACGTCTTTTAAACTGTTCTTATCAGACTCTGGTGAGACTGGATCCAAATCTTTAGGTAATAAATCCTTAAGACCACAAGCACCATTTTTTTCTTTTATTTTTGGTCGCTCTATACCCAAAAATTTTATATACTACATCTTCTATTTGTGGCATAAAAACTGAATAAACCTTGGGATTTACCACTTGATCCACTATTCGTTCTACACCAGCATCCAGATATGGAGCATCATGTATATGTTTTCGCAAAGTTTCCCTAAGCTGATTCTTGTTCAAGTCTGGTTTCCATACTTGTTTACTAAGGAAAGAATTTACTGAACCTTCAACCCTTGTCCTTAGATTTTGATATGCAGGCTAAAATCAATTAATAACATCATATATTACATATATATAATAATATTTACGTTACAAAAGTAGTAGATAATATTGTACTTTTAAGGGCATTTTTATGTTTAAATATTAAATTACTAATTCTGTCTAACTTACACAAATAATCTTATAAAAAAAGTCAAAATTCTTACAAAACAGATTGCTACCAGAAATTAAATTGTTCACCTTTGTATCAACATCAGCGATGCATTCTTTACGAAATTGATCAAAAATGCCTCGAGATTTAACTTCGCCTACAATATGATCGATCAACCGTGGATCATCAGCCATCAACGTGTTGGATAAATCTAACTCCATGGCGTTCAAAGCAGAATCAGATTTCACTCGTCATAAAGTAAGAAAAGCTATCATTTTTACTCTAATCAACATACACTGGCAGAATTATTTCGTCAAACAGCACATATAGCAGCCATTGTGGTCATTCCTCAATATTAAACTTTATGACGGATGCACATTGCGTTCGATTCACATTGAGTCCGATGCACATGTACATCGCATTCGATGCAGTGGTACCAACTAATAAATAAATGTGTCGTACGCAGTAACCAATCAGCCTTTTTCTTTTCTAGAAATAATACATTAGAGATACATCATAGTGCTTCTATTTCTATTTCTTATGATAAGTGCTTTTATGTGTAGTAATTATGATCTATATCACACTACGCAATCTTGATGATACATTTTAAAAACATGTATGAAACTTTTTGAAACTTTAGAAACGCAAAAACAACGTATTATGCAAAGTAAGTACATTTTTATAAAGCATTATGTCTACAGTTAATTCTTTCCTCATCAAATTTATTTAATACCAACATTTACAAAAAAGATAAAACGAAATGGTCTGTCGGAAGTCATCTTACTTTCACATGTTAGGTACTGCCGCTTGAAAGTGTACATATACAGTTTTTCACATGAAAGTTGATGGATAGATTACGTGTAATATTGCAATTGACAAAATTGTTCCCCGAATACTTTCCGGACTAAAGAAATCGAAGTGTCTGATCGAGAAATTGCAGTGTTCGTGGAGAGGTGAGTTATCACGGTTGATTATATTTAACCGCTCTGTGAGGTTATGTTGCTATTTTACATGGTATTTCTTACATACACATATATGAACAAAGAATAATTTTTTCGAATTATATTTATATATGATATATGCAGCATGTTGATATATTAATATGCTTCCATATACGTAATCAGGAAAAATTATTTTCCTAGTTCTTGTGTCGCAAACGTAAGGATGAAAGTGTTGTTAAATAACGCATGATAAATACGCACAAGAGATATAAATGTGATGCATGTAGTGATATTTCAAATTTATCTTCCGAAATTGTAATTTTGTGAAATAACTTTATTATATGTTCATAAATTTTTAGAAAAAAAATTTTTTTTTTAATTTTCTCTTATAATCTTGAAACTTGCGAAAGTAATAGTTCGAATAGAGCTCTCTTAAAAACAACTCCAATATTTGATATGAAATCGATAATTTATATGCAACTATTTAATCAATTTGCACGAATCGCAAGTATGGCTGTTATCCGTATCTTCTTGAACAGCCGACTGGCTTGCGAGGATTTTAATGCACATTCGCAGATTGACGTACAATAAGAACCATTATGAAACGCCTAATGGCTTTCAATAGGATTAATTCACTACTCGCGTGACACGAAACTGGCTGCCGAGTGTCAGATTGTCATCATTTTCGCTAGTCTAAATATCCCAGAATAGAACAATACGTTCATACATATATGATGAAAAATAGACTTTAATTGCGTTTTGTTTAAATTAATAGAGCAATAATCGATCAATATTCTGCCATTTGACTAACGATTTTTATTTATTATTTGGGATTATTATTTGTGCAATATTTTTAGAAGAAACTCTTTATTTGTCAGAAAATTTAAATCCAGTAATGGTTAAATCAAATGTATTATTAAGTGCATGGTCGACTTTATTCTTTGATCGTATTGTTAAGTTCGCGAATGCAGCCGGATGCAGTCGCAGTCTGGTCTCTCCGGCAATCGCGTCAAAATGTCATTGTGTCGGCGATGATTTGCATTACAGCTTCTGTCGAAACGAGTGTATATCGTTGCAACACCGCGTCGTCAAACGATATGCACTTTGAACGTTGCTTATCAATGTTGTCGTATGGAAAATTAATTGAACAAGTGATATGGATTAGACACTGATTAGATGGCTTGAATGTAATTCGAATTATTTCGTCGATAGATTTGCAATCAATCTCTTAAATAATTTTAAGTAATTATGAAATATTTTTAAAATAGTCTTTATTCTCTACTTGTCCCTATTTCCTAATGTTTTCTCAATTGTGTACACAGTCTTATTGTTCAAAGTTTACGATTCGATATATGTTTGAACAAGAACCACATGTGACATACTTTGTAATTTGAACATTTCCATTGCAAATCAACTATTCCTTTGGCGCTTATTGTGCGAATTTTTTGAATAGTTAAAATTCCTTAACGATTTTCGATCAAGGGCATGTTTTTAATTTTTTTTATCCTTTTCGTGACGCTAATACTAATTGCATTTTTTATTTAAATGTTTGAAATTAATTATGAAGTTGGTAGCCAGGTTCACAACGATAAATTAATTGCATACGTGAAAGTTGTGGGGTTTTCTGAGATCAAGCCATCATTGGGATTGACAAAGCTGACAAACAGAGAAAGTTTTACCGCTTGAAATTGCTTTCTGCAATTATCTCTGTTGCGAATGAGCGAGATGATGTAAAGCATGATTTTTTCAACTGAATGTATGTACACCATGGCAGACTGTGCTTCGCAATTACTAAACAACTGTACGTACTAAGAAAAGGCTGCATCAGTAAAGTGTCAAGTTTGAATGATTCTTCACTTTTATTTATCGCACAATAAGTGTGACCGCTTGGGGTTATTGTTTGATGTTTATCGAATGTGATTGCATCCAGATTATTCTTCAATAGAATTTGAAGCCTAGATTTTTTATATTGTGCATATTTATTCATTTATTATATCTCTCACTGTGCGTTATGATAGGAATTTATTAGGTGCTTGCAAAAGTTCGTATGATTTTAAACCCATTTCTATTTATTAATAACAATACCATAAAATGTAATATTTTAATCAAAATATTTGCCATTGCTTTCAACAACTTTTTGCCACTTTTCGGGCAATAATTGGATCCCACATCGATAAAATAAGTCATCTTTTGAGGCAATCCCTTAACATATTACTGATAATCAGTAAATCATCATACAATCGACTAGAAAAATACTTCTGAGAGAGAAACAAAATTAAGCAAAATATATGGAATTTTCTTAGATTGCGTGGTTTTTAGAGAGATGTTAGAAGATAGTTTTAAATATGAAAATGTGAATTTATATACATATATACATACATGTTGATCGGTAAGACACGTGTCAAGTGAATCTTGGAGTTTATTTATGCAACAAAAACTGTTACTCATTATGTGATACCATGTTAGTTTTAATTTTTTGCGATAACAAAGCACAGCAATCGTGCATACACTGGCCTTTGATCTTAGAAGTTTGTGATGGTAATGTTTCAACCACAATTAGTTGTTATGAAGAAATTTGCATATAAATCGATACGTAAATTATATTCAAATAAATGCAAGTCATTCTAAACATTTAAAATTATTTTTCTCGAAAAACATAAGCAATAAAAGGAATTGATTTTACATAATTTAGCTGTTTCTTTTGTGAAGAATCGCTTTTTCCTACTGTACTAGGATTTACTGGATATTTTCTATATTACGTTGCACATATCGTTATTTCCTCAGAGTGTCTTTCTACAATTGTAACGATGAATGGGGATCTATTGTATTAACATTATCATATCTTTTGATGTTTTTTTTTTATCAATCAAGTCCGAGAACTTTATAGTCACATCACGCGTGCTCCGCGTGCTTTCTCGAAAGAGATACAAATTTCGGCACAATGTGCAAATTGCCTAAAAAGTGTCCGATACAGTATCGTCCGAGAGATTTTCCGTGATCGAATTTTTATTTGTATTATAGTTTGCCCCTCGCGCATCGCGTGATCCAGAAGGTCACGGCGCGCGCGGATGTGCAATCCCCTTCCTCTTGGGATGCCTCGAAAGCATATTCGAATGTACGCACGCATGCATCGCACATCAGCGTAGTAAAGTCAGTGAGTCAGTGAACCGTCCTCGGCAGCGGGTGCGGTGACGGCGGCGCGATTCTTACCGGTGGTTGCTTTACGTGTTGCGGTAGAAAGTCGACGATACTCGACGGCATCAGATCAACCGAATCATCCAGGTGTGATCGGCACGGTATCATCGGAATATTTAGAATTCAGAGTCGATTGTTGAATTTTTTTCGCTTATTCAGCATTATCACGAAACACTTTGCTGATTCATGTATCTCATGGATGAGCGATCGATGGCGTACGATTGTTGGTTCCACACCTGTCAAAATAATCCCGCGACGCTGCTAATACACTGATCATCTGGTCCAATGAAAGCGATCATGTGCAAGCAGTAGCTGATCGATTGATCGGCGCGTGGTGTGCATTTTGGACAGTTCTGTTCTCAGCTCCGGTGATCTTTCGAGTTAAACTGTGTCGAAAGAAGCGTCGCAAACGAGGATGTACGGCCTCGTTGAGATCTTTCTCTTCTGCGGAGTGATCTGCTACTTTTTTAACCTCAGGTAATTCAATCGTAAAGAAGCGATTTGTGATATTGATTTATATAAATATTTGAATGTACGATTAAGATAAATTAATTCGGTGATACTGTGCAATTTTTGGCACTTCTTTGCAGTATTATACTTTATACCCGGTTATACTTGTACAAAGAAATCAGCGATTTTGTATATTAATTAATTTTTTATACACAACTAAACGGAAAATTATTTTATTTTTTTATATTTACGCTCGATATATATATATATATCGCACGCAATAATTAAAAAAAATCAGTTACATATGCAATAGGTCGACTTCGGTTATGACATTTTAGAAAAATACAGTTTGCATGGTCCTTTCATAGTCGTTTCTTCCGCTATAGTCATCAATATTCTTAGATATGTTGAAAGTGAAATTTGTAAGTCCTTCTTTTGTGATTACTTATTTTTAAATGTAATTATGATCGTCATTATATTGAAAGACAGTCTCGTAACGTTCTTATATTAAAAAAAATTGTTAAAATTGTAAAAGCAGCTTATTATATGATTCCTTTTTACAAGTCAATGTATGGAGAGACATTTGCCTGGCTTGGTCGTGAAAAGGAATCATAATAAGTTGCTTTTACAATTTTAACAAATTTTTAAAATATAATATAATATAACGACGTTACGATACTGTCTTTCAATATAATGACGATCATAATTACATTTAGAAATAAGTAGATCACAAAAGAAGAAAAACTTACAAATCA